AGAGCTGGGCTCTGTTCTGCGTGCCTCTGTGTCTCTGTGTGTGTGCGTGCGTCGCATACGCTTTAAGTAAATTCCAATATGCGCTGGGAGCTGGCGTTGTATCTTACAGATACATTGGCTCAGATACTGGTTTTGATTTCGTATAGAGCTAGAGCGGCGGTGCGAGCGAGATGGCGAATGCCTGCGTGCTGCGGTGAAAACGCGACAGTGAAAATGTCGCTATTGGTCGTTGCTCCTTTGCCACGGATGAGTAATCCAAAGCGAAAGGGTATCCGTTAGTCGTATTCGATTATTTTTCGTATTTGTATTTCTATTTCGATTCTTTTTGCACTCTTCACTCTTTTTTCGGGTTAGTTGGAAACTCGCACAGACGACCCGAACTTTGTTTATCTGTTTATCTAAGTACAGAGCGCGCAGTTTGTACTTGTTAACAGAGTTTACACGGTGCTTGCTTTTGCGCTTGGACAAATGCACGGAACAAAAACAACAACAACAATAATAATAATATCGAAGCCGCGGAAGAAACTACCTGACGCGTACCGCCGCGTCATAAAAACCGAATGCTGCTTCACTTGTTGTTGTTGCTGCCGCTTGTTTGTTTATTTGCTTGTGTGTGTGTGTGCGTGTTTGTATTTTTATAAACGCGCTACGTTCCGTTCGTTCGTCTGCGACGCGTCTCACATTCGCTTTAGCCGGGTCTCTCGAGCGCACACGTCCACCTGCGTCGCCGTCTCAAAGTAAACTAAACCCAACTACGTTGAAAACAAGTTTCTGTTAACGCTGTCGCGCTGCCGAAGTCACCGTCGCCGTCGCCGTCGCAGTCGCAGTCGCCGCTGCTGCTGCTGCTGCTGCGGCTGGCGTCGCAACATAACATGCCGAAACGAGATAAATGCAAGCAGACACATGCACTGCTGTGCGCCAGGCCAGCACAGGAGCGAACTTGACTGGCTGCGCTGCGATGTGTGTGTCATTAGGATTTACAACACATGTTGACTGTATTTCTAGCGAATATTTGTTCGGGGCTGACATATTTATGGCATATTGTATTTATATAGTTGTAATTGTGGTACTCATTGAATAGGGTACAGCAATAAATGATAAAAAAAAAAATACATATATTAAAATTCATTACAAAATATACTATCAACTTTCATTTATTTGGCTATCTGTATATTAAATACTACAAAAATAGATGCAAATATATTTATAAATTATATTATTTCATTTTTGTTAATTAAAAAAAATATATATTTTGGCAATATGTTAAAAATATTAAAAACATATTGTCAACTTATATTTTAGCTTTTCTGAATATCGAAAAATATTAAAAATTAAACTAACCAACTTCTATTTTTGCATTTATAATGATTATTTAAACTATAAAACTTATTATAAATTTTATTATTTTGCCTTTTCGGCTCAGTATATAGAAGAAACAAATTATATGCATTCAGAAATGTTAGGCTGAATTATCATCATCATCACCCCAAGCTCTCAATTCAATAATTAACCCTCCAGCCGCACCTGAACAAGCTTGCTTAGCAACTTTGTTGCTGGCAACATTTGGCGCTGTTGCTGGCGCTTGTTGTTGCCGGCTTTTTGGCTGCGTTGGTTTTTGTTTTTGTACATCGTTGGTCGTTGGCACCGTAGTACACAGCCACAGCCACACCCCCGCCCTTACAGGCGTAACTCCCTTTTAAAGAGCATCGCAGGGTAGTTTGTATTTACACACACACATAGAGACACACAAACATGCTCTATAACAGATACACTCCACCACTTCGACGTCCGTTTCGTATTTACATTTTACAATATGTACAATTGCTGGCGCTAAATATTTGATGAAGCTGCCAGGCAGTGCCATAGAGCAGCAGATAAAGCTACAGGCAGACAGACAGATAGACAGACTGCTAGATAGACATTTGGGAAAGACTGTGTGTCTGGCTGCTCCTGCAGATGCAGCTTTTCCGCTTTTCATTTGCAAAATGGCCGCGACGCTAGACTTGGCTATATTTGTTCGTTTCCAATTGTTTAGTTTCTCCTCTTTATGGTTTTATCTTTTATCTCATAACAGTTGCCGGCTCATTTGCACTTGAAAATGCTGTTGGTACACGCGTATTTGCACTCACTGCTGATAATGCCAGCCTGTTTATCTTATCTCGGCAAATGTCGTCGTTTTGTCAGTCCCGACAATGTCAACGCCTCAAAACATAACGCTCAACGCATATGCATGAGATGATGTCGTTGTTGTTGTGTCCGTTGTGGTTGTTGTTGTTGTTGCTGTTGCATATGTCTCTGCATTTCCATTTGCATTTTGAACAATTGTCAATTGTTGTGAAGGCCTGGCTAGCAAAATTTGCATGCGTCGAGTGCATGGCAACATTTGCCACAAGACAAGCTCACTTTGATGCCACGCCCCCCGCGCCTCCCTCAAACACGCACACAGACAGAGATACATCAACTAAAAACTTACTGTACGTCTGGCATTTGTTTATCTTCTTGTTATATGTAATTTGCATAAAACTTGCTTTGCATCTTCCACCACAAGGCTCGACCTGCAGCCACAGCTGCACTTTGACCCGAGCCACCACCCACCCCTCTGGAGAGCCCCTCGAGAGTTCCCAAACTTGTGGACACCGCCCGTCATCATAAAAGACATTAAAAATTTGTGCATCTGCTGCAGCTCTCAGAGTCAGGAAGAGAGAGGCAGATGGAGAGGCAGGGGGGAGCCAGCTGTTGGCTGCATATTCATGATGGCAGTTGCAACAACTTTTCGAAACTGAGCTTCTGGTCAGGGAAATGCTTAAGGTAACTGGGCAAGCGAACTTTAATTAAATGTTAATGGCTCAACTTATTCGCAATTCGACCGGCTCGAATCGGTACTTCCGCTCCGGAAGCGCGAGACGTGAAAAGATGAACACTTGACTTGGTTCTTAAAAATAGTTTCTGATCGGACTGAGAGCGCACAAGGTACAGGAAAGACTTAACTAGGCATTGACTTAGGTGTAGATGTTTACTTCAGCTCTGAGCATGTATTTAAAGGAGTGTGAAAACTAAGAAAAATTTTCTTTTTATACATACAGTGGAGTTACTCAATTCCTTTATGTCTCTAGTTTTTGATGGACTCTGTTTATGTTACAATGTATACAAGTTACGTTAGGTTTTATGGGAGCAGGCTGGATCTACATGACTCATTCAAGGCCGTTCGAAACTATTTTACGTATACCTCGGATACTCGATATATATATATATATATATTCGACACTCGATACATATTTTAGATATATAATTTTAATCATTATAACGTGCTGAGTCCGTCTAGTTATGTTGATTTACTTGTCGCTTTATCCAGCCAAGAATATCTCGTTGAAACTCCTTTAGAAAATTCCCAAATTTTAGCTACTCTCATGTTTTCTGTCACATTTCATTTAGTAAAACAAAAACAAAATTAATTCCCCTTTTTTTACTCAGAATTGAATACAGAAAAAGAAAATTTTAAAAATTTTATGCAATGGACGATAAGACAAACAAAAAATATGTTTTGATGGTTTGTGTGGGTTCGTTTGTGAGCAAAGAAATTCAATATAAAACAAATTAAATAATTTTGCTATCAATAAATCTTCGCTTAGATAATACATGTCGCTCACCCATTGCGGAGGCGGTGCTGCATGACATGATCGTTAAGCAGGATCTCCAGGCGGAATGGGATGTGGAAAGCGCTGCGATCGAGGCGTGGCACGTGGGCGCCCACCCAGACGAACGAGCGCTGAGCGTGCTCCATAAGCACAAAATTAAGTACACCAATCTCGTGCGACGCATTAAGCTGGAGGATTTTGAAAAGTTCAATTATATTGTGGGCATGGATCAGAGCATTATGGCCTCTCTAAAGCTGCTGGAGCCACACTATGCCAAGGCTAAGCTGCTGATGCTGGGTGACTTTTTGATTGGCTTGAAGCCCGACGAGCGCTTTATTGAAGATCCATATTACGTAAGTTGAAACATTCACTAACACTCTATTGTCACTGCATAATTATACTTTGCAGGAAATGGGCGAAGGTCCCTTTGATAAGATTTACGAGCAGTGCACTCTCGCGTGCGCGAATTTTTTAAATCAAGCGCGAAACGACGAAATCTAACACAGAATTCAACAGTGTGGCACCATCGCAGGGTTAACAACAGCTGTTACGATAACAGCTGACTGACAGCTCGTGCGCCAGTGTTGGCAAATGACACACACACGTTCAACAAAATATTTTGTCGTATAAATTTTGTTTAAAATGCCCCAGAAGAAAATATTAATGATTTGTTTGGGTAATAAATTATAACAAAAATTAAAAATTAAAAAAGAAATAGCGCATGACTCCCTAATATTTATTCAACTTAATGCAGGCAACATTTGCCGCTCGCCGATAGCCGAAACTGTTATGGCCGAGACCTTGGCCAAGGCTAAATTGGACTCGGTGGTTGTGGACAGCGCCGCCACCGGCTCGTGGCATGTGGGCAACCGGGCCGATCCGCGCGCCCTGAGCACGCTGCAGAAACACGGCCTGGAGAGCAAACACATTGTGCGCCAGATCACAAAGCAGGACTTCTATGAGTTCGACTACATCTTCGGCATGGATGAGGACAACATGAGCGACCTGCGGCGTCTGGCGCCAAAAGACTGCAAGGCGGAACTGCTTATGCTAGGCGACTTTGGACTTAGCAAAGAGAAGCGCATCATTGAGGATCCCTACTATGTGAGTAGTACTTCGTACAAATTGCAGTTGGAGCTAATCTCAACTACTTGCAGCAACGCGGCGATGAGGGCTTCGAGGTGGCTTATCAACAGTGCGTTACGGCGTGTGAGGCGTTCGTTAAGCAGCGGCTGCTACAGTGATTCTCGTTCCGATATGTTTCATGTAGTTGACTTATAAAATGATTAAATTGCAATTGTTAAATATACGATGACCGGTTTGTTTATATTTAAATACATATGTACATGTGTACATATGCATGTGCAGGCATGCAAGTGTGTGTGCATTATTATTACGCAGTGGTGAAAAAGAATCGAGAATTGAGTATTCCATTAGTCTCAGTATTGTTCAGTGTAAGTTGCTTGGCTTTCAAATTTTGCTTTTCGTTTGAAATTTGTTTTAGCTAAATTTTAAACGATGAAAGTTTTATTCGTCTGCTTAGGTAAGTAGTGAACACTTCTATCGAGTGCTTTAGTATTTGTATCTATGACTCGCCCCAACAGGTAACACTTGTCGCTCACCTATGGCGGAGGCTGTCCTAAAAGATTTGATCAACAAAAAGCAGCTGCTGAATTGGCACACGGACAGCGCCGGATTACGAGATTGGAATGTGGGCATGCAGGCGCAGGGACGTGCACAAACATTGCTGCATCAACAGGGCCTAAAGACGGACCATATTACTCGCGCAGTAAGAAACATACTGAATATTAAATATAATCATGCTGATGGCATTTCTTGCAGATAACCGTAGAGGATTTTTATAATTTTGATATTATTTTCGGCATGGATGATAACAATATGACGGAGCTGAGACTCATTGACGAGCAACTGGAGCCGCCGGCAAAGTGCCAAATAAAACTCCTGGGCAGCTATCTGAATCCCGAGCAAGATCAGATTATTAGAGACCCATATTTTGTAATTGCTATAATTTTGGTTTCATATAACTCACTAAATCACTTTTTATTTGCAGACCAAAGGCATGGCGAGCTTTTATACGGCGTACATGCAAATCAAGGAGAGCTGTGAGCGCTTCGTAGAGCTACATAGGGATGCGGCATAAATTCCTATTACTACTACTACTATTACTATTATTTAATACTATTTATAAAATTGCATAAGTTTGAATTGAATTATGATTTGAATCTCCGCCCGCTGTTATCTGCGCCAAAAGCAATGTAATTTAACTGCCTAATTGTTTAAAATTAATTTTTTGTTTAATTAGTTTTGGTTTTCTGTTTTTATATAACTAATTATATTTCAATTTATATGACTACTCTCGAAAGTAAACACCAACATCTCTTCCCATTGCATTCACCCACTCAATGACAGCTGCAAAATAAACAACAAATAATATCTATATTTTGTTTACTTAATTCAACTTATTATTTCAAATAATAGAAATACATCAAAATTAATTTAGTTAAACCAGAATGATTATCTCTGGCGAGGCCTATTAAAATCTTAACTGTTTTGCACTCAATCTGCAATTTCTAAACTGAAATTAAGTGTGTTATGATAGCACCTCTACTGGGATTTGTAAAAGAAAATAACTTTGCAATAGTTTGTTTGGAATTGATTCCTATATTTATTACGTTCTCTAAAAGACCTTGCCCTGCAGCACTTTGTCCATGAACAGCGACCAGCTGTAGTCGAGCACCTGATATGCCCTTTGCCGTTCCCGATCCGTGAGCATCGAGTAGCGCACGGAGTTGTAAACGAGAGTCTTCAGGACTCGGAGTCCGGCATTGTTGGGCGCCATGCTCATGATGGCATAGTAGAAGTCGTAGCTCAAGCCCTTGGCATTCCAGAAGCCCGGATCATCGTTGCAAATGACCATGGGCACATCTAGGGCCAAGTACTGGGCGCCCGGATGATTGCGCATATCCCAGACCAAGTGCAGCACCTGGTTCGATATGGGACTCAACTCCACGGCTATGTTGCGCGTCTTCACGGCATTCATCAGTATGGGATGCTTGACCAGGGCGAAGGCGTGACCCATTCGTGTCGTATTCAGCAGCAGCGCATCCAGCAGATTAATATCCGTTGACGCACTAAACCAATCTGCCAGAAGTTGATAGAATTTAGATTTGAGACTTCATATGGAGCAGACAAATGAAACTAACTCGTCTCGCCGGCGTGAAGGAACAAATTTGTGTTGGGCGGCAGCTCCTTCAGGACAGCCAGCTGCTCATAGAGCGGCTTGCCCTTATCCTCCTGCCCCACCAGATCAAAGCCAATCACAAACTTCGGGAAGGCTTCCCTGAAATCGAAGAGTGAAGGTTGATTAAATTGGCCGAAAGTCTTCAAGCTACTCATGCTTACTGCAATTTCCGGAATTCTTTGATTTTTACCCTCAGAGTCGCCGCATCGGCGCCTCGCCACGTGGCGTAGATGACCTTGATGCCAATGAAATTGGGATGCAAGCGCACAAATTTGTCATTCAACGCCTGCAGTTCACGCAATGCCTGCTCCTGGGGAAAGGTGCGTCCGCTGGCATCGTAGATCTGCGGATGGCACGGAAGATGAGGAGAGCTGCCAGCAGCGCTCAACTGGAATGCTCACCTCTTTTAGGCTAATGCGTAGCTCAGCATACATCACGTTGTCATTGTAGAGCTCCTCGAGCAGTTGCCAGTGGTAGGCACGAAATGCGGGCAGGTAAAAAATGGCCTCCGTCAAGGTGTCAAACATGGCCTGGAACTTGTTCCAAACGGCTGTTATTGTGGGATACTCCACTGCGATAGGAAATGCAGGATGATAAACAAAACTGAACCGAATTGAATTGAGAATTATTCAACTACTCACGCTCCGGCACGGGCGTATATAGATTAATTAGTTTTTCCAAGTTCTCGTCGTACAGCACCGGATCGATTGAGCTCCTTCGCTCATCCGCCACGTACACGTACTGGGATGTGCACTTATGCAGTTTGGGGGCGCGTCGAAAGGTCAGCCGGCTGCGCCCCTCGGCATTGGTGCACCGCAGCATGCCCGGCATGTAGGACATATTCCGCACCACCCACTTGGAGCTGACCGCGGCGGTGTTGTGCAAATGGAGCACAGCGCCCTTGGGCATCTGCTGCAGAAACTTGAAGACAGAGCTGCGATCGATCAGCGGCTTGGCCTTGAAGAAATGCATCCCAGCCACATTCTGATCGGCATTCCTGAAGCCCTGGGCCAGTTCCCCCAGCTTGTACTGCATGAAGAGATCGTCTACTTGGCTCTCCTTGGCGCTCAGGCTGGTACGTCCGCCCGTCATGAGCTGCTCCTCGGCGCTGAGCACAGCCTGGCGTGCCTTCTCATAGCCTGCAAGTTGAGCATTATTAAAGAGCATCTAATGGTCACCAAGACTCACTTAAAGTCGTCTCCACAGCTGCCTGCAGGGAATTGACCAGCAGTCCTAGCAGCAGCAACAATAACAATTTGCACATCATTTCCTTCGAACTCTGATTTGTTTTGGCCAAAATTGTATTGAGCCGCCTACACAAATATTGATTGTGGCTTTATTGACACGCTGGGACTTATTGTATGCCCCTCGACAGCTAATTAAATGCGAGCTGATTTCAGTGGACTCTCCGTACTCAGGTGTTTGCGCCCGCTCGCTAGCTGTGCTCGCCAAGAACTGTGCGAAACGTCGTCGTCGCTTTACCAGCCTCAGGGCAGAAAATTATAGAATAGTTTGACGAAAATTACGCCTGGGCGTACAACCATTATTCACAATTAATAATGTTTTTCTTCAAATTTTTTTTTTTTTTTTTTTAATTTGTTCTAGTAGTGAGTATTTCGCGAGTTTTTTGACTGGAGGACTCGCTGTGCATATTAAATGAATCAAAACACTAAAAACAGACGCGCGCCCAAAGCTTTTTAATTCGTATACCCTGTCATGGGCATGGAACTGGGGTATACTGACATCTGTCTATGGAATATCTATATACAAATTGTAATTTATATATAACACAAACAATTATCAAATCACAATACAGCTCTTTGACTTATGACTAACTAAGCAATTAGTATCTTATAATACATTTTAATGAGCTCAGTTCAATGAACGAATTATTGTATAAGTATACAAAAGAATCAAAAATTTTGCTGCAATAAATAACGAGTTAACTAAAAAAAGTCTTATTTTTTTAATATGAGTTAATATTTAATTGTTCCGGTTTTATCCAGTGAGGAATTTTAAAGTCTCTGTATGATTAAACATTGACAGAGAAAATATATTGTTTCTATACAATACTTCCAGTCTTATTTCATTTATAACATTCATTTGGAGGAAAAGCTTTACATGTTACAAATATCACTTTAAGCTAAAATTACCGGGCAATCATCTTAAAATATAAAAAAAACAAATAGTACAGATCAAAGGGTGATTCCCATTTTTCATCCTCTTATAACAAATATCATTATTTCAGTTTATTTATTATATATTCTCACAGTTACTCAACTATTGTTCTCCGATTTACAGGGTATCTTAACATCGTGCGACATACACAATCTGCTTGTTAATTGCCAACTGACGTTTGCGGACGCGCTTAGCTGATTTCTAATCGCATACGAAATGAGTTGTTCCCTTTATAAGCCGTGATGCTAGTGCTGAGAATTCGCATTAGGGGCTGGGCGTACGCTTGTTCAACGGTAATTGGCAACATCAATTGTCACCAGCATAAAATAAAGTAATATCACTATTTTTAAAAAATATTTTCATAGTTTTAAAATTGAGAAAATTTTATGCGATGACTTTGCATCCATTTCATGGCAGCTGACAAGAAAAGAAACAATTATTGTGAAGGCTATAAATAAGATAAATAACTTAAGAGTAATTTTAAAAATCATTTTGTACAATTTAGTAAATTTAGACAAGTTAACAAGGGGTATAAAAAGGTGTATTTGGTTTGTTTAACATGCGTTTTAATGCATTGAAGCAGTTGAAGAGATTTTTAATGAATGAAAATTGCTGCTAAATACTATTTTTTATTAAATGTGTATTATATCTCAAGAAAATTCACAACTTTACTAATTTAAAAAAATCGGATTAATTCTATTATTGAATTTGACAATACATTGATGAACACCGTTAAATGATTTATGAACTCATCCTTAGTGTTTTAGGTTCGAAAAAATTGCAATGATTACAAAAAAATTATAATACAACTATCTTATAAATCTCTTCGACTATTTTAACCAGTTCAAGCTTCTTCAAGCTTAAGTTAGTTTACCCTAAAGTAGATTTCAGTTTAATGTAGAAATATTAGACACAAATTTTAGGAAATATATTTGCATATATAGTATAATATCTAAAATTTCAATATATCATGAGGCATATATCTGTTTCAAAACTAATCACTGAGCATTTATGCACATGTATATAATATAATATTGTTGATTTGAGTTTAGTTTTCCATTATAATATAGTAAATATAGTAAATTAAAAAAACCAAACACAAATAAAAGCAATTTGGTTTTATTTATTTAAAAAGCTCGGCGATAAGCGCGGTTCAATGTTTTTTTTTTTTTATTATTATTATTTTCTGTTGTACATTTCCCACGATTCATTTCACTTTTTTCCAGCTTTGTTCTCTTGACAGTGACAATCTAACACATCTAAATCTCTCACACCCTCTCGCTCGCTCTCTCTCTCTCCCACACTCTCTTTCTTTCGCTTACCTTCTCGCACATTTACTGTTCAGCTGAACTGTCGCCCCTTTGAATGTGGCAAAAAATTTGTACATATCACATTCAATGCCAAGTATCAATTTTAGTGGCCCCAAAACAATTTGGGTTAGTAAACAATATGCAAAAAATATATTTTAAACTAAAAATACGACATGTATGAATATAGAAAGGGGTATGCAGGACTAGCGTATGAACTATTTAAGGGGATGGCATATGAAATATATGCTGTATAAAACTTTTATGAACTGAATTGACATCTAATCTTTGATTGCTGTCGTTGTTTAAAAATGCGCATCTTATTTACAGGGTATAGTTTGTTTGCTACTCAATTTATCTGCAAATAATCAAATTAGAATGCGCTCTAATGTCCCTCAGTCTTAGTTGGAGTTACACTTGAGTCAGCCCATATAATCCACATATACCCCTTTCTGCATGCTGCAGTTAGAGTATTCACACATCAGCTAAGCCTGCCTAATGCAGGGCTCGCGCTTTGACATATTGTTTATGCAAATAGACACACTCACATTCACATATGCTCTGTTGTATATAGTTTTCGCGCCCTCGTCGGTCAGTATGCACAATTTTGCAAAAACAAAAAAAAAAAAAAAAAAAAAAAAAAATCACTGGCATTGAACTCTGAGCACAGCTGGCGCTAATCTCTCCCAGCCGCGAGATCTAAAATCATCTAAGCTCATGTGGAGACTTTTAGTGCGCGCATCGCCAGCGGCTTTATCAGTTAGCAAGCGGACGGCAAACTAGGCACAACAGACAGAATCGGGCACATATATACTATATATGTACATATGTAAAGCATATAAAGAGTAAATCAAATAATTTATACACAAACCGTGCGATGCTGCTGGAACTGCTTTGCCTGTGGCTGCCTCTGCTGAGCCAGCTCTTGGCTGCAGATCAACGTAGGTACAAATAATAGAGCAGATCTACCCGATTATACCCTGGTATTTCGTATATACAGCCTACGTAACGCTGCGCGAGCGCATAATGAAAGCAGAGCAAATGGCCTCGCTGGGCGGCAATCTGTGGCTCACGGCGGATGAGGAGAAAGCCAACAGCATCCTCATGATTGCCAAGCGGGCGGAGATAGCCGAGGGCATCAAATACCCGGAGAAGTACGCACCAGCGATGCACTTCTTTCAGGGCAAGCAATATGTGCGTCAAAGCGACGTCTTTCGCATCATACAGAAGATGCCGAAGGGCGCCTTCCTGCACGGCCACAACACGGCCATGGTCAGCTCCAAGTGGATCATCTCGAATCTCACCAACACCAACAATCTCTATACGTGCCGGGATATAAATGGCGTGCTGATCTTCACTTACGACACGGCCAGCTCCAATTGCCACAGCGAGGAGCAGAATGTCTGCACGGAGCGCATCAATGCCGAGGATCGCCATCAATACGAACGTCAGCTGGAGAAGCACATCAACATGCACACCACCAAGCCGGAGAGTAAGTGTCTGCCATCGCTATCCATGATCTACCCCAACTCTAACCTCAATGCCCCTTAGCGCTGATGCCCAACAAAAAACTGATTTGGAATCGTTTCGAGAATATTTTCACCACTGTGGATCGTCTCTACAAATATCAGCCCACCTACTGCGCCTACCACAAGCGTCTGCTGGAGGAGCTCTGCGAGGACAATATCATTTATGCCGAGATCAGAGCTTCGCTCTCGCCTGTGAGTATGCTATGAAAACTTTGGATACCGCAATTGAATTTCAAGTTGATTTGCTTGCTCAGCTCTATGACGACAATAATCGCACGTATAGCTCGCTGGACGTGGCCAACCAGCTGGAGCGCATTGTGGAGGAGTTTAAGGCCAAGCATCCGGATTTCGTGGGCCTCAAAGTCATCTATGCGAAACGCAATCGCGCTTCAGAGGAGAAAATGGCCGAGAATATACGCACCTTTAAGCAGCTACAGTGAGTACTCAGATAACTAAACGTGATTCATCACGAACGGGAGTTGTTTAAATGATGAAGACATATCGGGTGAATCATATCTTAAGAATGGGCGTAGATAAATCTTTAATCTTGGGTATTTAATCCAAATAGAGAAAATGAATTTGGAATATATACCCGAATAAAAGGATTCCTGAGGTTCCGGAAAATATATGTTCCGAATTGCCATGTCCCGTGCTTTAACAACAGAAGCATCAATAAACTAAATACATTATCATCCTCAATATTCACAGCTCTGCCAAACCCAACTTCATAATTGGCTTCGATATGATTGGCCAGGAGGACACGGGAGATCCGATTAGTAAATACGTGAATGAGTTTTCCGATATGCCCAGCACGGCGAACTTTTTCTTTCATGCAGGCGAGACAAGTAAGTGGAGCTGATCCCACACAGCCAAGACAACGATATCTATAGTAATACTCTCCCCTAGATTGGTATGGTCGCACAGACTGGAATATGATGGATGCGATACTGCTGAACACGAAGCGCATTGGACATGGGTTCGCCCTGCCCAAGCATCCACAATTGTGGTCGACGATCAAGAAGCGTAACATAGCCATCGAGGTGAATCCGCTGTCCAATCAGGTGCTGGGTTTCATCTGGGATCTGCGCAATCACCCGGCCAGCTTTCTGATAGCCGAAAACTTTCCGATTATCATATCGGCGGATGATCCGGGCGTTTGGGGCGCCAAGGGACTCAGCTACGACTTCTACTATGCGTTCATGGCAATGGCGCCGGTGGAGGCGGATCTGCGGTTCCTCAAGCAGCTGGCATTGAACTCCATGAAGTATTCGGTGCTCAATTCGGTGGAAAGGCGCAAATTCAATCGGGTGTTCCAAAAGAAATGGCAAGAGTTTATTGCGAACATCATAAATCCAAAATTCGTGTAGGAACTAAGCTAGACTTTAAGGCAAATACAGACAGAGATTAACTACGAGTTAAATATTTGACATGCACTTTAAACTGCATTCGGGGCAAACCAGCCGTGCAGGCACTTGGGCACCGGGCCATTGGTATGAAAGTCACAGCGCCCCAGCTCCGTCATGGTCTTGGCACAGAGCACTATGAGACCCACATAGCAATCGTTGAGTCCGCCACCCACGACCATGGAGGCCAGTATGACGCCATCGTCCTCGCTTTGCGGCTGCGGCGCGGCCACAAAAATTGGCTCCGATGGATAGACATTATCCTCGCACCAAGTCTTGCAAGTTTTGCTCACCACATCCACCTTAATGAGCTGGGCAAAGAAAGAAAGAGAGAGAGAGAGAGAGAGAAAGAATATTATTAAAGAAGATAGTCCTTTGATCAGCTTAGCTTACCGTGCCCGGATTCTGTGCATCCACATCTGAGCTAATGGCATAGAAGTAGCGATAGCTCTTGCCCATATGCCGTTCGTAGTAGATTCTGGGCGTCTCGCAGCCCCAGTCGCAGAGCATTTCGGGCCGCAGATAGATGCCAGTGGCACCCTGGTAGGCCTCCGCTTGGGTATTCCGCAGTGTGACTAGGTTGACGCAGTCGTCCTCGTCGTACCTCGCACGCTTCGACTCTTTGGTGGGAATCTCCTGCTTGCCATTGGTGGCCATGTAGGTAATGTCCGCATACTGCGAGGCGGAGTGCTTCAGGAGCGTGGGGGGTGGTGCCGTCAGACCCACCAGGGAGAGCGACTTGACCAGGCGTCGCTTGCTGGAGCTGCACGAACTGCCGGCACCCAGAGGCAGCACAAAGCGCAGGGGGCGTCCGCGAAAATGCTGGGCATAGTTGGGATTCGTTTGCATATTGGCTATGGCCTCCAGGTACATGCAGTTAATCATCTCGGGATTCTTATAGCTGCATAGGTCCACCACCACGTGGCCATCCTGCTCGTAGGCGTTGATGATGTGCAGGTAGAAGAAGGCTTCCGACTCGTAGGTCTGCACCAACTTCCCGCTCGATCGCTCCAGCAGATGGAATAGCGTAGGCTTATCCTCGTACCACTTCAGGCAGGCCGCCAAATGCTGATTGGACAGCTGCGCCTTAATGTACTCCGTCAGCGAGACGGACATCGGCTGCTCCACAATCACAAAGTAATGCTCGGTCAGCCCGAACGTGTGCATATAGCCAGGATGCAGTTTCCAGCGGCAGGGCAGCGTGGCCACCACGTGTGCATCCTCAAACATGTGCTGTCCATTGGGAAAGCAGATTATGGCATACGCCGGCCCAGACTTGGTCATGCTCATACCCAGATTATAGACCGTGCCACTGGGCAGCACATGCGGATGCGAGGTGTGGTTGATGATGCCCACAAAGTCACTGGTGCAGATGCGTGCCTCCGTGGCGAGTGTGCAGGGATTTATGCTGAAGAGAGAAAGAAAATGAGAGAATGAGCCTATGATAGAGAGAGAGAGAGAGGTGATAAATGTAGAGAAGGAGGGAGAGGGTGAGAGACGGAGAGGGATAGAGGAGAAGAGAAAATAATACAATGGGATGGGTAGAGAGGGGGCAGAGGGAGAGAGAAGGAGAAGGATAGAGGCTGGGAAAGAGGAAAGGAGAGAGAGAGAAGTAGACATAAATGAAAAGTTATATTAGAGAAAGGGAGGAGGCGTGACGAGGAGAGAGGGGGTCTGATCCCCAAACCGATAAGCAGAAGAGAATAAGAGAAATATAATGAATAGGTCACAAATACATATTTCTTAGGCCTTCTTTCCATATCTTCATATCTATGTATAATTTAGTATTGTTTATTAAGTATACGCACCGATGCATAAATGGCGTCTCGGTCAAGGTATAATACTGATCGCCAAACGGATAAATCGATATCATCGAGTTGTCGGTGCCATTGTCCGGCTTAAAGATCGCACCGAATTTGTCAAAGATCGAGTGGCAAGGATCCGGCACGGCAGCTGTGCCGAATTCAGTGACCACAATGCGCTGGGCGGCGCGATTCTTTTGCAAGGTCTGCGTGTCCACGAAGCGATTCTGATATGTGACGCGACCGTTCTTGATGGCAAAGCGATGCAGCAGCGCCGAGCAGTCGAAGAGGTGGCCAAAGCTCATCTCGCCCACCTTCCAGCTGCCGGGCCCGTTGCGCAACAGGCTGCCGTTCAGCCAGTCGGGTATATGGCCGCTGACGTGACCCTCAATGGGCTCCACAATCTCGCGCTCGCATGAGCGCAGCCAAACGTCCGAAGAGCAGTTGGGATAGTAGCGACCGTTGCCATCCAGGCGCGTCGCCTCCGGATCAGCCCGCTGCTCATCATAGTTCACCTACGGAGGAAGAGCGAAACATTAGCCGATTATTGATTGACACGATTTTCCTTAAGCTGCATTTCAGCCGCCGATTAATGTGGATTAGCTGCAAAGGTTTCGCATGTCACTCGCTAAATCAGCTGCGATAATTCCCAGCGAGCTCGAGCCAAGCACGGAAACTGTTTCTCACACAACACACCCACTTGCCTTGATACAATTGAAATTGATTTGAAGTTCAAGTATATTAGTATTTTTTGGCACACTTTCGGATAGAAACAATTTCAAATTTGTCTCGAAAATTTACAATTGTTATTCATAGGAAAAAATTGCAAAAACTAACCGCAAAAAAGTCACGCATAAAGCTCTTGAAGACGCGTGCGGACATTTTGTAACGGATGTGGCCGGAACGCAAAAGCTACCAAAATAGCCAAACGCAACAAAAACATAAACAGAACCGAAACGAAACAAAAATCTCGAAATAAGGTACACCCTGACAGCAGTCTCTAGGCCCCACTCGAGACAGAATGGCGAGCGAGCAGTTAGAAAACCAAATGACAACTGGCATAGTTAGCCAAGCCAGTCGCCGCTCGTCAACTGCTTGAGTAGGGTGGCTGGCCCCTGTCTAAGAGGGGAAAGGAAGGGCTGTGTGGGGGCCAGCGACCCTCTGGCAAGCGGTGTGCTGTGTGCTACCGCATTATTCATAATTTTGATTGACAGCCTCGTCACCAGAGTCGTGCGGCTCGCTTGTAAGCCACACCGAAAAACCCTAGTAGAGCCAAAACAAAATAGAAATGTGGATATATACAAATATGTGTGTGTGCATTTTTGCCGCTTCGGCAACTTGTGAGCACTACCCACCTCTAGGGCAACTTCTTAGACTAATATTTTACAGCGTGCTTATAGTACTCCAAGAAATTCAATACACATACCCACAAGTCGGACTGTCTGACCTTGTTAATGCGCCATTCTTTTACTTCATTTTCCATATGACTCGCAGAAGCCACAACAAAGCTTAGCGGAACGGCAGCCAAATGAATGGCCACATGATGATCAAGTAAGTTAAGTAATATGAAGTCTGTTGTGCAATATTTGGTCCACCCTAAGGCCAGAGCTAGCACAAATCGCGCATACGACACGTGGGCCGCGGGCACACATTTGTTTTGGATTTAAGTTCATGATCATTTCAATTAACGATAAACACAGGCAGCAGCTTAGTCTTTCACTTTAGCAATTGAAATTCATGAAAACGAATTTTCATGAAAATCGCTCGTCAGGTGCATCTCGAACATTGCCCCAGTTTGCCGTAGCTCAAATTGATGTCAATTGTCTTAGCTGGCCCAGCTGCAGGCGCAGTTCGTATTTATACAAATCTCGGGCATGCAAGTGTGTTTGTGGCATTTATGAAAATGCATATGATATTGCTAAAAATAGCATTAAACAAATCAAAAGCTCATTATTTCCGCAAGATATATCAAGGTTATTCGATTTTATATTTTGCAATTTGTTATCTTTTAATTTGATTTTTTATCGAAATAATTTTTGTTGTATTTATTTAATAGTTTACTTAATTTTTTTATTTCATAAATCGTTTTTATTTGGTTAGTTTAATGTTTTAATTAGACGTTAGCTCAGTTTGTCGCTGGTGCTGCACAACGCTTACGCACAATTTACTGTTGTCCAACACTGGACGCACGCATCAGCTGTTGCCTGACAACAAAAACAACCGAACGGCGCAGAACAGCGCCAAACGTAAATAAGAGACGAAAAATCATATAAATGCAGAGGTGATTGTAATTAACGAATTTGTTGTCCAACCACAGCAACGATAGCTTTCTGGACAGCATCCCCTTTGACGAATGCGACAACTCCATCGATTGCGGGGGCGACTACAACTTGGACTCGGTGCCTGCCAGTGGCTGCTACAATCAATACGACTGTCCCTGTGAGATGAACGCGCGCCAGAATCTGGGCACATCATGTGCGGGCGCCAGTCGCATTCCCAGGGCCGCGGCAAGGCCACGTCAAAGTCTGTCGCCGCGCAACAACTACGCATTCCAGCCGGTGTTCCACGAGCGCACCAGCAAGGAGGATGATACGCTGCTCACCGATACGCTGTGGAAGCTGGCGCGCAAGACGGGCACACTAAATCTGACCAACAAGGGCATGGCACGAGGTAGGTCATCAAATATCAATGTTGACTTTTGCAATTGTGTGTGCGTATGCGTGTGTGTGTGTGAGTTTAGGTGTCGTGGTGTCGGCAGAGCAAATGCGTCGCTGGAACTCCATGAAGCCGAAGGTCGAAGCACGTTCAGATGCTATCGGTGATAGATACATGGATAGCAGCGCCTTATGGTTTCTCTATATGTAGATGCGAATGCCAGCGTTTGTCAGCGAGATCTCGAACTTGTCCCTGGCTGACCATAGAAGGCACCGTGCATATTACACGCCTCACTGGGCAGCCGAGTGACGCAATCTCGAACAATACTTGTATTTGTTGCCCACCGTTGTTTAGTTTGTGCGCGGCACTCGTTGGCTATAGAAGTGTCGCTAGTGTACGAAACATATCCTTCAAGATTGCGTCCTCGAGGCAAACACGCAAGCAGCTGACGTCGTTTTGTATGTGTGGCCCGCATCCGCGACGACGACGCTACTATCAGATACGGGAATTTCAAATGGCTTCGTCCGCCGATGAGCTGGAGAGCGAGGATCCCGATGATGAGATCGAACTGGATGATCCAGCGCCACATCAGCCCAACCAAGATGCCACAGCCGCCGCCGCCGCCAGTAGAGAGAGATAAAACAATGATTTCCGCAACGATTTCTAATGCTCATCCGCCTTTTATTGCAGTGCCCGAACGTTTGTTTAACATCAACGAGGCCGATGCGGACACCAAGAAACGCACTCTGGAGCAGTTGTCGATTAACGAGGAGGACGCCTGGTGGAATCAGGTGCCTCTCAACAATCTGGACTTGAGCTCAAATGCCTTGACGCACATTTCGCCCAAAATCGAGAATCTGTTAACGCTCACCGTACTCCAGCTGCATGACAATGCTCTGGTCGAGCTGCCGCCGCAGATTGGCAAGCTGGAGAAGCTGGTGCGCCTGAATCTTAGCCACAATAAGCTAAAGGAATTACCGCCCGACCTCTACAGCTTGCCAGAGCTGCGGCATCTGAACATATCGCATAACGAGTTCGAGGAGCTCAATCCGGACATTAGCAATCTGCACATGCTGGAGTTTCTGGTAGGTGGCTGCTGTAGCTATACAAAATGGTGGCTCTGGCTATTAACCGCTTTTAATCCTAATCGAATTAATCCTCCCCCACTTACCCACTGATCCAATTGCTTTGCTAACACGTAACTACACAAGGATGCTGGGAACAATAACATAAACAGTTTGCCTGGTGGCATTGGGTTTCTGGTGCGTCTAACGGCTCTGCTGCTGGCCAATAATCACATCAAGGAGCTGCCGCCCGATATTGTCTATATGCGCTGTAAGTTGGCGATAATTAACTTGGCTAATGCCGTAGTAATCCTGGCTCATGGCTCCTGGCTCAAGCTCTTCAAAAGCTGGATCTCATGAAGAACGATCTGGTCGCCCTGCCCGAGGACATGGGTCTGTTGCGCAAGCTGCAATTCCTCTATGTCCAGCACAATGACATCAAGGAGCTGCCCAACTTCGAGGGCAACGAAATGCTCAGCGAACTCCACGCCAGCAATAACTATATCGATGTGAGTGGCCCGACGTAGAATGTGTATTTATAAGGTGGTTGCTCATGCATATCGTGTCCTTGCAGCACGTGCCCAAGGAGCTATGCGAGAATTTGCCACATTTGAAGATCTTGGATTTGCGCGACAACAAGATCACCCAGCTGCCCGATGAGGTGTGCCTGTTGCGCAATCTGAATCGCCTGGATATCACAAACAATTCCATCAGCGTGCTGCCCGTCACGCTGTCCACGCTGGCCCACCTGATCAGCCTACAGGTGGACGGTAATCCCATCAAGACCATACGACGCGACATTCTGCAATGCGGCACAGCGCGCATACTGAAAACTCTGCACGATCGCGCCCAGGCCAAGGAGCGAGCGGATGGCGGTGCCGAGGACTTGCCATGCAGCAGTTCCGCCGCGGGTAGTCAACTGTCCATGCAGCAGCAGCAACAGCTGCCTGCCAACATGACCGACAAGTGAGTAATTGCTCAATGGGAAACATTTTTTGTTATCAGGCATTGATCCAACGACGCAGCAGCTATCAGCAGCCCAACTGCGCACAGTCGCCATTCATGCGCTGCCATTGTGGATGTCAATGCCAGCATTTTATGCAGCACCAGCAGCAGCACCTGGTGCAACAGCAGCCGGAGCAGCAGTATGCCTTATACTATCAACAATTACCAGAAAAATATGAGCAGGAACAGCAACAGCAACATCAACCTCAACATAAGCAGCAGCAGCTAAATCAGCTTCAATTTGGTCAAGCTAATCAATATGCGCAAATGATTTATCGGAACAGCCATGGTGGCCATTATATGCCCGGTTACTCAGGCATGCCCGTATCGCAACTGGACGCATTTAATCCGTACAACCGTTGTGTTGTGCAACCACGTTGGGTGTAGTGTATCACCAAGTTCCAATGGGCATTAGCTTAAAGTTTTTTATATCCTTGCAGAAGATATTCTAGGGAGAATTCTATATTCCTGTCCTGTAAATTTCAGTATAGATCCATAATTTTGTTGTATACTATGTACATGATATAGATGAATGCCTGTCTGTATCTGCTATGTTTATTTAGCCTAATGTCTCTATAGAGAAACTCCGCTCCCATATATACCATATTCCTGAAATTGTGTCTATGTATCTGCAAGGCTATATAACCTTCGATTCTGCGAAGATAACTGCCCTCTTCCATTGATATCTCGACTAACAGATATTACCTTCTCCCATTTGCCATATCACAGATACAAACTGCGACATACACGCACCTTAGCTGTGAATTTGGAAGGCCTTACTGATGTGCCCACCCACGTGTTCGAGCTGGCCAGCGAGGAGAAGGTGCATGTGGTGGACTTTGCGCGCAATCACCTAAGTACCCTGCCCAAAGGGTGAGCACACTTACATACTATAATAACAATAATAATAATCAACGGCTCTGTCACAGTTTGCAGCACATGTCCGATCTGGTAACGGAGCTGGTCCTCTCGCACAACGTCATTAACAACGTGCCACCTTTTATATCGCAATTCACGCGCATAACATTTCTAAACTTGTCCAACAATTTGATCAAGGACTTGCCCCCCGAGTTTGGGCTGCTCAACACGCTGCGTGAGCTGAACATTGCCAACAATCGGTAGCTAATGTCACATAATTTATGTTAATTACCAAAACTAATGTTGAGCGCCTTTGCAGCTTTGAGGCCCTGCCTAATGCCTTGTATGAGCTGCAGGGTCTGGAGATTCTGATAGCCAGCGATAATCAAATTAAGGCCATCAATGTGGCTGGATTGCAGAATTTGCCACGCCTAAGCACGCTCGATTTGCGCAATAATAATATTGAATATGTACCGCCTACACTGGGAAATTTAACAAATATTACGTGAGTCACTTATACACTGTTTGAAGGAGAATCCTATATTCTATATAATATATTCCCTTATATTTTACAGTCACTTGGAGCTGGTGGGCAATCCATTCCGTCAGCCGCGCCATCAGATTCTAATGAAGGGCACAGACTCTATAATGTCCTATCTACGTGATCGTATACCCACTTGAAGGGAGCACAGTAACAACAACAATAACAGCAACAGCAGCAACAACACCAACAAACAAACAACAACAACCACAATACGCATCTATTATTGAATTAATTTAAATTGTTTAGCACATGTGCTAAGCGGAGATTTATTACTATTGTTGTGTTGATACCGAGACAAAAGCTAAACTAAATTAAAGCAGCGCCCACACACACACACATACACGCACATTAGTTGTGTGTGTGCGTGTGTGTGTGTGTGTGGACGTCAGAAGCGCGTAGTACCTTGTAGCATTTAACCACGAACACCCTGTAACACACACATACACAAGTGAACTAGTCAGCGTTTGGGTAACACATACACACACACACACACACGACGCACTCGGTTAAGACATTGGCCATAAAGCTTGCAATAAATAATAAATAAAACTAAACTCCAAATAATTACGATAGCCTCTTTTTCTTCCCACACTCAATTGTGCTCCACGACTTCGCTGCGCAGTCTTTTGGCCAGCGTGCGTCGCAGCTGCAGCGCCGCATTGTCCGCCTCGTCCACCGCCTCGGGCGACTTGCCCAGCTCCACATTCTCGAGCAGCTGCTGCGCCACCTGCGCAGAGCTGGGACGTGCGCCTGGCTCGAGCGGCAGCTGCGGCGTGTTGCGCGCCACCGTCTCCTGCAGCTGCTTGGCGCGTGTTTGCTTTTTGATCTCCACGATCTTGTCGCGCTGCTGGCGCAAATATTGTTGGCGCGAGATGATCTCATTGGGATCCACCTTATCCTCCTGCTCGAAGAAGAGATTCAGACGCTGAAACTTATCGTTCACCAGCTCCAAATTGGCATCCTGCTCAGGCGTTAGGCCAGCCTCTGGACTCTCCAGCTCATTGGCCACCGTTTTGGCAATCAGTGCATCTACATCCAAGTCAGCCACGCCATTGCTAGCAAGGATTAGATAAGCATGATGTGGATTATAATACTATAGTATGTCTACCTGGCATCTGCAGCCGCTGCACTGTCTGCTTCCTCTGGCTCCGCAGAAGCTGTGCGCGCCAATTGATGCTTCTCAATGAGATCCAACGCCTGCAGCTGCAGCTCCACATTGCGCTGGGTCATCATGCGTATAAAGATCTTCAGATCATTTGCAGCCCAGATCTGGAATGTTAATTACAGGTAAGCTATATGCATGGAGCAGGAGTCGCCGCACGACCCACTCACCTGCTGAAAGAGCACGTGATGGAATTGAAATGGATTCTCGCCCGGGCCCTGCTGACGGCCCTCAAGGCAGGCCATCTCGAACTGTTCCGGCGTTATGTGCATCTCCTCCATGAAGCTGCCCAGCATAAAGTCCACCAGATTCTTGTACTCCTCGTGGATCTGGCGTATATCCTCGTTGTTCTCGTCCAGCTGCAAGTTGGGATCAAAGACTGCAGCCACAAAAGATTTTATTCCATGACGTGGCCGAATCGATTGCTCCTTGTCAATCTCTTACCCAAGGACTTTTGCTCGATGAATGTCTGCAACGGGGCATTCCAGACAGGTCCGTGCAAAAAGCAAACCAGAGAATCGAATACCCAAGAATCTTCAGCGGCCATTATCCCAGAGCGAACGCTACGCAATGACTGTGAAAATCAAATCGTTCCACAAATTCAAGCTAAAAATGTCGTCAGCTTGTGCGCAATGTTTGGCTCCTTGCAGTGGTTGCCAGGACAACTAGCTTCGCACCCACTCCATGCCCACACCCGCATTTCCATTTCCAAATTAGAAAAGAAAAACCATTAGGAGACTTTTTTTGCAATTGATGTTTTTGTATTTTTTTTTTCTCTTCTTTTTTGTTTTGCTTGTTTAAAAACTATTAAAAACTATGATTTTTAATTATACTCAATCATAATATAGAGATGTTTCAAATTATATATGTATGTATCGTATGTTAGGTATCGTGTATGTGTGTGTGTGTGTGTGTGAGTTAGGATTAGAGGGTATTAGACAGCATATCATATACAAATACACACTTGCCTATATATAAATACTATGTAATAAACTATAGTTTGTTTTGTATTTTCTGTTTATGCAAAAATTTCTCGTTATTTACGTTTATTGTTGCAGTTCAGTTGAAACAAACAAAAACAACAACATGGAAGGATATATTTATATTATTTCTTCATTCACTTTGTTTTCAGTTTCTTTATATGTATGCAATATGTACGTACGTAAGTTCTTAGGAGGGTCTGGTGAAGGGGAAAGGAGGGGGTGTGAAGGGTGTCCGGCGCTCAGCTGCTCCAATGCAAAAAAGGAAACCATTTCACGTCTCGTTTATAAAATTAAGCACTAAAATAAATATGTATGCAAAAGCTGCTCACAAATGGCAAATACAGTACAATTATTATTAACAAATAACTTTATTGTGTGTTGTGTATATGGTTGCTGTTGTTGCTTATGTTGTTGTAGGCGCTTCTTTAACTATATTTGTTATATAAAAAAGTATCTTTAGGCTAAAACAAAAAAAAAAACCTTTACTTATGTGGAAAAAAACGCAAGAAGACTTTTCTGGTAGTTTTTTTTTTTCCTTTGTTTTTGTTGTTTTGTTTTTATGCGTATTATTTAAACCCACTTGTAACTCTATTTTGTAATTATCATTATTTGTTGTAAATTACGTGTGTATGTGTGTGTGTGCATGTATGTTGAATGCAATTTGTGGCGCAGCATTAGAAATGTACTCAACAAATTTATAAATGGTTAAGAAACAAAATACATTCCCCCTTTAGCAATATATCCTTCTAGTCCGTATTTTCCTTTCGTTTTGTTTTGTTTGCTGCTTTGCTATTTTACAAATCCTTGCGCCTGTCAACTATATGCAAGTCTTCACGTTCTATAAGTAGCTTGTATTTCGATATATACGGGCATAACGCTAAATTATATACAAGGTTTATTCAATTATCCAGTTCGTATTGTTAAATAGGGCATTTTACATATATATGGCTTAACTATGAATGCACAAAACAAATTTTGTTTAGTTGGCTTCCGTTTGTGGGCATTCAAAAGGTAATTCGTTTACATAAATTATGAAATGAATTTAGCACGTATTTTCAACAAATATTTTGATCCCAATGGGGGTCAAAACTTGTGGAAATACAAAAATATTTAATATAGCTTAAGATTAGCAATTAAAGAAGCGAAGTGAATTCACTGAATGTTAAATTAAGTTTTAGTTGAAGCAAGTTTCCTTTCTAGTTTAACAGCGGTTAGCCTTGTAATACCGCAACATCGGCTTGGTGTATTTGAGATATACAGTACTATATGTATATGTAGTACTATACTTGAAATAACATATTTGATATCTGTTAGCTTACGTCAAAAATTAAGATCTGGCTAATATCTTTTGATTATTTTACAACTTAACATCTTTTGCTTAACATATGTATGTTATTCATACAAGAACTCAACAACTGTTAGGATTGTAGCAGTATTACAAGTCTGCGCTTAACATCATATAATTACATTTACAACTTAACGAAAGAATTACATTTGCTTTCGTAATACCCACAACTACGATATTGCACTGAAAAAAACAATATTGTTACTCTTCTGTTCTGCACAAGATCAGCCAACTAAACAGGATTTGTTTTTTTTTTAAGAGGTTGCTTATCTGTGTGAGCTTTTGTTGAGCGACTGTGTTTAGGACAACTCAAGCACCGAACTTCAAACACTTCTGTCGCTGTTTTGCGCTGCCTTTCTTGTTGTTAATTTAGTTGTAATTTTAAGTTCTAAACGTATATTTATTTTGGTTTCTTTTTATTTAGTTTTTTTTTTTTAATTTCTTTAAAGCACTCAAATTCAACGCACACAAATGCAAAAAATTATTTTTTTGTCGCTTCACTCGAGCAATTAGTGTGTTTTGTTTTTGTGTGCACATATACTCTATAATTTATATTCTTTTTTAAATGTAGACATATATATATATTTATATATACATATATATTTATATACACATATATAAATATATATATACACGAATTTATATATATTATTTGATTTTAGTGTTTTTTTTTTTTTAATTTAGTAAAGTAAGATTTTATAATTTCTTGTTTACTTTTTAGTTTTAGGTTTTTGTTTAAAATAAATGTTTATGCTAAAATTTACTCTTCGCTTGTTCTTACATGATTGCTTACAAGCAAAATTCCCCCCCATCATGTCAGAGCGCCCCGAACTCTGACAAGTTTTTTAATTGTTCCTTGTTCTTGTTCGATCTTACATCGTACCGCTCTCTCTCTTTCTCTCTCTCTCTGTGTGTGTCACTCTGTGTGTGTGTGCCCTACTATTGTTGCTGCAGCCCTCTTGTTGTTGTGTTGTTGCTTCGCCCACTTGTCAACCATTACATCCGTTGAGGAGTGAGTATACGTGTGTGTTGTGTATGTGTATATATATGAGAAGTAGGTGTGTGTTTATACTATTTTATAATTGATGCCGCTTTATGACTGATGCCCAATAACTATGCAATACGCGCGCGCTTTTGTGCTTGGGGCCCATCCGAGTCGTCTTCCTCCTCATAATCATCCTCACCAGAATCGCTTTCATAGTCCACCAGTCCCTGTGCAGATAAAATAACATTGTTACCATTCAGGTTGTTAGGCTAACCTTCTTGCTCTAGTTACCTTTTTGGTGGCCTTATCGGCGTCAATGCCTGTTGTCGGTTCCGCGCTAAGCGCCGACTTCTCCTCATTCAACTTAAGCACTGCATCGCTGGCATCTGTGGTAGGTATCTGGGTCTGCGGCTCGCTGTTGTCCTCGCTGACCACAGAAGTCGCTAGACTGGGCGTGCTGGTTGCTGCCGTAACCGAGGCAGCCATGGCTGTTGCAATCGTTGACAAAAATTGAGACGCTGCCACAGCAACCACTGTTGCCGAATCGCAAAGCGCCGTGGCTGGCGAAGATGTGGGCGATGTAGACGATGTGGACGTTTCCATTGGTGACGTGGATGACGCTGATAACGCTGTCGGGGACGATGTCGGGGAACCATTTGATACGGCAGACTGTGCAAGCTCCGAATTCTGCGGCACCACAGCGTTCAACTGTTGTTGCAGCTCCGCAATCTCGGACTGTGGCTGTTGGGGCTGCTGCTCCTGTTGTTGCTGCTGCTGTTGTTGTTGCTGTTGCTGCTGTTCTTGTTGCTGGCTTTCCAGTTGCGCCACAGCGGCTGCATTCGATGTGGAAGCAACGGCAGCTGCAGCGGCTGCCACAAGTGTGCTATTCAAGGACAACGTTGGCTGTTGCTGGAATGAGTGCTGCTGCTGTTGTTGCTGTAGTTGCAGTTGCTGCTGCTGTTGTTGTTGTTGCTGCTGTTGTTGCAGTGCAATGTTGGCAGCGGCGGCTAACTGTACTGCGGCCTGGGCCTGCTCATCAACGGAGCTCGTCGCCTCGGGGCTACTGCCGCCACTTGCCGTCGGCACTGATACTGAGGTGGCAGTTGCAATCGCTGTGGAATTAAGATTGCCCAATAGACCGACGCCATGCGGGGACGTGCTATGAGGCGGCGATGACTTTTGTTGTGGCGATTGATTTTGTGTTTGCTGGGGGCCATTTTTTTCGCTGACAGCTGCATAACATAAAATTATTTAATAAATCATCTCATAATTCATAATTCTCGATAGTTTACTTACATTTCATCACATTATTGTAAGTGTCGATTTCCTCGGAAAAGTCATCATCATCATTGAACCACAGCTCCTCCTCCTCCTCCATTTGACGCTGATCACGACGGAAGCGACTGCTGCTGCGTATCATTGGCAGAGTTCTAATCAGAATAGTACCACAGTTGAAACAAGGCTTATGTATTGTAAAATTAATTATTTACCCCTCAGTACGATTTTCCAACTTATCGCGATCCTTGAGCCTATCCTGGTACTGATCATAACGATTCTTTAGGTATTTAAATGTTTGCACGTATTCGATTTCATCAAATATCTTGCTAAAGTTCTCCACGAAGTATACGCACAGCGTGCGTATATCTTCAAGTTTTATAAACTCGAATAATTCCAGTATGGCCGATTCAAGCAGATTATAGCGACCATTGTTACGAATAAAAGCATCCACCACAGGTGCAAATAGATTGCACTTGACAATGTGTCTAAAATTGTACGAAATTATAATTAAAATTATGTAATAATTATTCGTTTAATCTCATCATCTATACTCACCTATTGTAGAACTCATCTTTGAGTGCAATTATCTTGCGCAGCAGCCGCAAGGCCCCAAGTACAAGGAACGTATGTGTGCTCTTCATCAGCACTAGAATTCGTTTGAGGAGATCTTTTTGCAACAAGAAATTCTTAATATGATAGCTATGATGTTCCACGCAAAATGACAAAATGTCCAGCACAATGCCCAAGAGCTGAGCAGTCAGATAATCCTCGTTTAGTGGACGATCGCCCATTGTATTAAGCATTAGAGGCGCTGTGTTCAATATAAAAACGTAATTAGAAACTTTCACTTATTCTCAATTGCTTATTGAACATTTACCAACTAGCGTTTGGACGCTGTACTTGTAGAAAAAGTTAAGGAAATCTCCCTTCTCAGTCAACATATTTTCCGGCTCAAGCAATATCTTAATAATGCCCATCAACTGTACCGCTATGCCCAATTCCGGCTCAGAATCATTAAGCATCTGTTCAATGGCAATGTTCAGCAACATAGGCTCCTGAAAAATACCAATATAACATAATATAGATTATAGATTTTAAAACTAATTTCACTTACTCCCTCCGGTCGATTGGCCTGATTCAAAGTGTAATTGCGCACCACCAACGGCGAGAATTCAACAATGGCCGTAAGTATATCGATGGACGCCGACTTGGTTTTTGTATCGTTCATGACCAACGTCAGCTCAAGAGCCTGCAATATTCCCAGACAGGTGAGTGTCTTGTAGAACGAGTCCTTGCCCTGTGGCTGCAAATTTTGTGCAAAATTGCAGAACTCTTTCAGAAACAGAACTATATCACGTCGCTTGGCATCGGTAGTTTCTTGATCCGTGAGCAGTGTGAATAAATCTAGCAAGAAACGTTCATCTTCCTGTATGAGCGTAACAATCTCAACTTTGTTGAAGAATATAAAGCTTGATAACGTGTTCAGCATATTATCCTCGACAAAGACTGATGGCGTAGGCAGTATGATATCCTGAATATACTGCACGCGAAATGTTTGATGAATTTTTGCCAATAGATCCATATTCTTGATCGGCACGGCCTCGCGAAATTTAGCCAGTTGCTTGAGATACTGGCGATGCTTTTTGGGCTGTGCATGGGATGGATCATACTCCAGGCAACCGACCACATCGAAAATTGTATCTTCCGCAAACATTATTTCGAAAAGAGCATTTTTGTTTAACAAGAAAATGTTCTTGAATATTTCAAACAGATGATGCAGCCCTTCCGTATTCTCGAGATCCTCGCAAGCGCGAAACAGATTCAAAAGCTTCTTAATGTAGTTCTCTGATTCTAGGGCCATGGACAACTTCTCCTTTCGCAGCGGCGTGGACAGGCAACTTTGTATTGTCTCGGATATGTCCTCGAGTCGCGAAAGCTCACATGGCGGCAGCTCGATTGGCGGTGCTGTGTCTGACATATCCTCGAAACGCTCATCCTCTGACTCTTCAACAATGTCCTGCGTTATCTCAACGGATGGATCTTTGCCCTGCACCTGTATACAGCATTCACATAATTCAAATGTAGGTCATCCAAACATAACTAGAAATTAAAGAATTATTAAGTACCTGACATATCTTCTCCCATATCTCATCACAACCAGCCTTCTCCTGAAAGCTCAGCGCCAGATCGAAGTTATCGCCCTCTGACCAGACAATAAGCGTATCCTGTTGCTTCTGGTAAGCCGTATCCGGCTGTATCTTACTCTCCAACAATAAGGAACCATCTGATTCAGCACGCACTAGCAGCGATGTGCCCTTGAGACGCTCCACATATGTGGAGGAGACGTGTCCAGTACCACGGTCATCCCATTGCCGTTCAGCATTCAGTGCATAGAGCTTAACACGTCGGCGGGTGTCAGTCGTCATGGTTTGGCTTTAGAGGTATTTGTGCTCTCCGCTCTTTTACTGTTTTTGTTTTTATAGTTGTTTCACAAAAATTACGCTGTACTTTCAGCTGTGCCTTTAATCGTTGGTGGCTTGTAGCCTCGCTTGGGATAGTCAACTAGACTACTTACAATGAAATTAGGATTTTGAATTTTGAATTCAAATTATTCAACTAATGTCTAAGTTCGACTTGCATATCCATGTTATATTATTATGCTGTGATCTGTGAGGCGTGCAAGGCAAAACTGAAAAGCAAATTTTAGAACAGAGAGAAACAATACTTATTGTACAATACGAATCGAAATTATTATTCGTTGTCAGGAACGGAAAACTCTGTCAGAATTTTTAAAATGTCATTTACGTCATTTAACTGAATGTAACGATATATTTATAATCAATCCATTCGAGTGTAGTTGAAATCTCTTCTTATTGTATCACTGCACTAAATAAGTAATCCCATACATATGTATACATTTTGTACTCATACAGTCCCAATTACGATAACAACAAATGCGTATCAAAACAGAAGATGCGAAAACAGACAGCATGAATGAAATTGTGAAAGCTTCGTTTTATGTTGATGCATGTGCAGTGTATGTGTGAGTGAGCATACAAACACTTTCATATGTGTATGCGTATGTATTTGTAGAAAAATACAAACTATTCGCAAAACGAAATGCCAAAACTATTTTTGCCCACTCTGTTTACAAACAACAAAAAATCGGTGCCAATTGAGAGTATTCGAATAGAAGATACCGTATACTTAGTTCTTTAAGGGCTGCAAAGAGTGAGTAGGCGAACAAGTGAGAGAGTGAAGATATGGAATGTTATAAAAAGCAAATGTAAAAAAGAATAAAAACAAAATCAAAGCGTGGAAGAGAAAGAAAACGTGCGAGAGAGAGAGAGAACAATAAATTGCAAAAGTTATAATTTAATGATCCTTTCCATGTTGTATGAACTTCATTATGCCCTTTACACATATTATGCGACTATTGAGTGTTCGATTCAGGTTTTTCAAATCTCTCCACAACATGCTGTCGTTTGTTATTGTGTGCTTGTGTCTTTTCTGAAGTCTCCACATTGCAAACTATTATCGCGCTTTCGCCAAAGCGACCCACAACAACAACAACGAGCACAAACACGCGCGCGACAAAAACAAACATTAAATGAGTGGTCAGAACGTGAGAGAGGGCGCAAGAGAGGAAAATGAGCAACACAGAGAGAGAGAGAGAGAGAGTGCCAGTAGTACATTTCATTTGGCTGTGTGTAGCTAGTGGGTGGCGGCCGGCTAGCGGGGTAAATTCGCGGCGACAAGATTAGATTATCAAACACACACACACACACAAGAAACGCTGTTGCTATAAAGTACAACGTACGACGTACGCACAAGGGAACAAAAATCAATGAACAAGTGTATAAAAAAATGTGTGTAAACAGAATAGATATTTAGCCCATAACAATAAAAGAGACACGGTCTACGTCATCGTCAGAGAAAACTGAGGAAATCCACCTTTGTCAAACAAAAAAGCTTAAATATAATACATATACGTACATACACACCCATATATATGTACATATGTGTAACATATATAGATTAGTAATTAATAATAATAACGATGTTAATACATATAGGTATATTATATAAATTGACTTGAATATTTCAACATTTGCATTATGGCACCCCTCACCTCGTGCGCCGCTTTGATAAGGCGCACTCTAATCTACGTTTATATTTCGCCTCACGCGAACGTGTATCAAAACAAAAGCACCAATTAGCAAGCAAACACTAATACAAAATGGGCATTTACGCAACCAACGCAATTGCTTTCGAACTCATTGAAAAAGTTCCCAAATAATACACACTCACACACTGTAAACTATATACATACACACACATATATGTATATATGCAATTAGGTTCAATGTCTCCGCAAGCTGTGTGGGCGAGCGACCAATCCGTCTAGGACCAACATGCAAATTGGTCAACAGTAATAATTGCCACATGCTTCATCGCAAAAAAGGCACGAAAAGAAGAACAATAACTACTTAAAAAACTTACATATTTGTCTCCCAGCAACAAAGTTCAAGTTAAAGTAAAGCCCAGCTGCTGAGAGCGCTTATTGAAATGGGAGCGGGAGAGCGTCAATGGCAATAAAACCAAATGAAAAATATTGGCGCTGCCTGCAAGTGGCATAAAAAATAGGGGCGAGGCTGGGGGCGCAAGCTATGCATGTATGTATGTGTGTGCGCGCGAGTGTGATGAGTGCGCGCAAACGAAACGGAGAAAAAATACATCAGCCAAAAAGAAGCAGGACAATGACAATACGCATTAGTATGTGTGTGCATTGTGTGTGTGTGTGATGGATCTCACACAATGAATGGCCCGCAAAAGCTGGTAGAAAACGAACGCGTCGTATCTCGTCCGATGTATGCAGAATACGCGCGCATATGTATGTGTGTGTATGACTGTGCTTTGCATTCCCGTTTTGGGGTGGGCAAAAAAAAAAAATACCAGGAATTTCAATGTAAATAAGTATGTACATCTTCTCTTGTAAGCATATCCCGTGTTTGGTCATTCGACTAAAATTTGCGGAACAATTTTGTGCTTTTGACATTCAATTTTTAATACGTTCGAAATACAAACACCGATACTAACGCATACACACAAACACACATATCAGCCGTCCAGTGAGTACATCGTTTTTCGGCCCGTTTCTTTTCCTTTCATTCACTAAATTATTGCGAATGACAAACGCAAAACAGAATTGCAAAAAATTGCAGCGTATATCTGGCAAAGAGTATGGCTAAAGAAAAATGCCGTCTACGCTCGCACTTTTTCACACACTCGCACGCACACACACTCACGGAAACACAACGTCTCAATCTAATTGAATGACGCATGCATTATTTGAAAAGATTTTGTTTTGATTTTGTGCTAGTCCAGATTTTATTTGTCAAATATTGCATAGCGGTAAACGCTTCAAGATTTAATTAAACGCACACAAGATATATAAAAACAACGGGTACACACCACAAAACTACACAGGGCCGTCACGTACACATACTGAAACAGAGAAATACGGCAAGCGCAAAATCCACCACATGTAAAGCGGCAATCTTCGAATTCAACACACTACAATATAGAAGAACCATAAACTCAACACGGCGAACGTTTTGTTGCATAAAGTACGTGTTGTATCCATAAATGAAAACAATTTACATCCAAATGTGCAATGTTCATAAAGACGCACCGTATACTCAAGCTCGATCGACTGTTTCATGTTTTGTGATTGCGTTAAATATTTGTATTAAGATGAACATCAGAATCAAGTATAGTTACACACGAAAAAGACACATGCACACCTAAACACACATACACACGCAAACACTCACACACACAAGCTCAGTCATAGAAGCCGCAAGAGAGCAACAGCGGTGGAAGCGAAAGCGCGAGGGGTACTATTCAATCTTGACCAAAAAATGTATGCACTCACGTTGCAATTCCTTGTTTACGCTACTGGCAGCACCTATTATCAATCATTCAAAGTATATACAATTTGCGTTTGCGCATATTTACTGTTTCGAACACCTTATTTATTAAACATTGGCAATTCAACTTTTAATTTAAACTTTTTCGCGGAACGGACGCTGTTCCAACCGAGACGACGACGATTTTGTGCTGTGTCGACGCCATATTGTATTTTGTATACATCGATACCGCCATCGATATGCATTTACCTATCGATGCACAAATGTAAACAAAAGTATGACCGTTCCGTTCAACAGTGCTGCACAATAATAGCAGCTAGTGTTGTAAGGTGGCGTTTGAAAAATATTTATTTATTTATTGCACTGAGCAGATTTTCAATGGAGCCGAGTCGGCATAGATACTTTAGCATTGCAGCGAAATATAAAGGCGTCGATGTGGAGGACTTAGAACTTACCGTTCAGAAATATGGAAACGATGTCGTTCGCATACAGTTATTAAACCGTATGCATGGTCAACAATGTGCAGTTCAATTTAAGCGATTTTGTCTGCTACTCGGCTTGGGTATTGTTTATTTCGCCTTTGCTCTGACAGTGACCGAAGGGCCTGCCAGATTAGGCCAGGCTCAATTTCTATACCCAACTTTACTATGGCTAGCCATGTCCATATCAATAATCCGCACCGCTCTCCAGTTGGTGCACTCTGAGAAACTCTTCTACAGCTGGGACATGGCTCTGCAAACGGAAACAGTTCGAACTTTTGGACGCCAATCGGTGCTCTGCGTGCAACGCGGTCATCTCCATGACATGGTTCTCAACGAGGTCATAGAGAATGTGGGTTGGGCTTACGTTTAAATAACGGCATATTTATTTCAAACCATTTTCTTTTACTTACAGCTAGACATAAAGTATATGCTCATATTGCGTACAAAGGGCAGCATATTCAAAGAGCGCCCCATAATACCCCTATTCAATGTGAGTTTTTTGCGAGGTTTTGTTCCTTAATGTATGTTAACTTATTTGCTTAAATTTAAAGAGTCTTTCGCCATCCTTCGAGTGCCTGCAGCATATTCAACACATTTTGCATGGCTATTGGCTCAATAACAATAAACATAAATTGGATCAGTCTTGCAAAAAAGATCTACCCTCTTCGGCGGCATCGTAAAGCTCCATCAGTTTGTCCAACTATAAAAAAAAAAATATTTTCTAATTTATTTTCACCAAAAACTCAATATATGTAACTGTGTAGCTACTTGTAACATGGGTATGTATTCTTCAGACTCCTTTTGCTGTGGCGGCAATTTAGGAATATTTAATTGAACGTCAACTCGCTGGAAATCACCGCGTATCTGCAAAATAAATAATATAAATCTATATATAAACACAGGTTTTATTCTTTTACCAAATTGTTGAGGTCTGTTGTGTAGACATGTTTTGCCATTTTTGAATAGAATTCCAGGTAGACTGATTTGCTAAAAATTAAATCGTCTTGTGCCTTGCGCAGAGCTTGCACTTGTTGTAGCGTTAATTCTGTATAAACATATTGCATTAGTAGATTATAATTAAGTTATTTTCTACTTCGCCTCACTTTCCATGTCGGTTTGTTTTCCTTTGGCGTCTCTTTTCGAATATCTGCCTGTACTATATATCGATAAGTGCTGGCTAACAGCATTGAATCGCCAGCTGATGTCATTTGCCCATCAAAATAAACAAGACAGTTGTTATTTTTTCTTACATTCACTTGTAACATTGACTCGTATCTAGGCAGGCAAATTATTAAAATACTTTTTAATTTACATATGCTCTTTAAAGTTTGTTTATAATTGAAATGTTTTGTACATAGTTCGATTTATTTTTCTTTTACAAAATTTTATCTTTGGTGTCTGTTTTTCAAATGTTTTATAGTGCTGTAAAACGATTCGTTTTCAATAATTAATAGCACTGCGCAGTCAGCTGACGTCATTTGCCCATATAATAATAAACAACTAGCGTTTGTTTATGTGCAAATTGAATGTTTAACGAATGGTTTTAAAAATTATTGTACCGCTGGCAGAGCTGTGGCCCCTTGAAACGAACGTATACATCTGAAACTAAAATGCAAAGAAGCTGTAGTAGCAGTTAGCTTTATTTCAGGATAAAACAATAATATTTGTAAGTCGAAATATTCATTAACTAAAAATACGCACTCATATGGGTGTGTCCACGGACAGCACATGGTCAAAGCATTTGCCTAATGTGTATGAATAAATCTGTTTCAGTTTCCTCCATTTCGCGACCTTCTATACTACCATGAACCGTTCGGATTCTATACCCATACGGCGTGATCGCTCCTTTGACAGCGTTCTCAATCGTTTGCTGCGGATGCGCACACAAAATCATGAGAGCTTTCGCGCTGCTATGTACAATTTTCTAATAGCAGCAGGTGTGGCTGCTTTTGTTGCTGTCTGCATCATCCTGGGCCCTTTTGTACGGCCCCTACTCTGGGCCTTCCTCATGGGCGCCGTCTTGTTTCCATTCAAGCGCAGGCTGGCCGAATTGCTTAACAATTGGTTTCAGCGCTTGGAGGAGCGAGATTCAAATATGCTCGTCTCAATATGTCTGGCGCCCCTGGAGGCCACCGAACATTGCGGTCGGTTGCTAATTAACTGGCTCTGCCAGCATTGGCAGCTCCTTTCATCCGGCTGCGGTGTCGCTGTCTGCGTTAAGCTGCTCGTTTTATATGCACCCAGCGGATTCCTGATGGCTCTCTGGCGGTGGATAACCTTCTCGCATAGCTTGTTTGTGACCATCATCGGCTTCCTCAATGCATATGTGGTAGGTGATTTAATTAATGCATGCCTTTAAATCTTTCCTTCATTTCTATCTCCACACTTCACGTGCAGCTCATCGTTTTGATTGTCATATACCTGTCCTCCGTACACTTCTTCTGGAAGCCGGAGAACAAAGCGCACTTCGTAGTTGCCGGGCAGTCTATGTGGATAGCCATTGCCAGCTATTTGTGCAGCTTTCTGGGCGCCCTTCAGGTGCCGGCTCTGCTGCTTGTCATGAGCTACGTCATTGCATCCACAGCGTATCATCTACAGACGACTCATGATCACGACTCCAGCTCCTTTTTGGATCGCCTGCAAAAGCTGTTTGATCGAAACGATTTCGAGAAATCCCTGAGTATTTGCCGCAAAGCTGTTGGCGAGCCGACGCTGCAATCTGATGTAGAAGATATCTCATTGAGCGAGACCGTAGACTCCGAGGATACATTCGGCGCGAAGCCAGCCGAGGAGACTGAGGGACATCAAAGCGATACCTATTTTAAGTTGTTATTCTATGCCTGCCTTGGCACCTTCTTGTATCGCAATATTTGGTTGTTCATCTTGGCTGCGGTGCCGGTGTTTTTACATCTACTGTATACTGCCGGCAGTTATACGGGAATAACTCAGTTTGTGTGCAACAAGATCAATGACGCCTATCACGGCGTGAGGGTAAGCTCTTTCATTATATATATATATATACTTATTTTGACTGTTTTTTTTCACATTGCAGAGCTGGGCTTTGGATCATCATTCAGCTGTGCTGCCCTTATGTCTGCCTGGCGTTTTGGAGCTTAACTACAAGATCAATAGCATTGTCCGGGATTCATTGAAATCATCTGTGGAGTCTGTTACATCCATTCTTATGATCATACTCATGTTGCTCATAATCATATTTCTGAGTGTTTTCTTTTGCGTTAACATCTATTCAGAGACAATTGAGGTCGCATATCTGGGCAAAGATCTAATTAACAAGACAATCACCGATCGTCCTGAGCTAATTGATATTTTGCCAGCCAATATACAAGCGTCCATTGATGATGCGCTCGATAATGCGCATCATTATGGGCGCCGTAAGATTGAGACCTACATTGATGATTGGTTGGCCGATGCGGACAAGGTGCATGCCACCAAGTTGAAAGAGCAAATCCTCGATGTCTGGGATAGACTCATACAGTATTGGATTGATTTCAATAAGGCGGGCACCTCGTATGGACCGCGCGTTCCAACCGACGCCCTAAAGAGCACCTTTGGCGAGATTGTTGATAATCCAGGTAAGTGTCAACGAGTCGGGTTTGGGTTTTCTGTTATTTGTTATCATTTGTCCAACGTTTATGTTTTGAGTTTTTGATTTTAGCTCAGCGCTAACTATTTTTACAAAGCTCCCCAAAGAGCTGCGTTTGGCCCTAACCTCCATTCTGTATTATTTTTTCGTATGCGTGAAAACAAATAACTCATTACATGTTGCCTTTGCTAACCCATGGTATTTTACTTTAACCAAGGACATTTTAAAGAGCTAGTTTTAGTGGCAAAACAGGGCATCATTGGCTGGGCGCAAAGCAACACTCAAACGATATTGGAGGTTGCCGAATCCCTATGGCATATCATACGCACCAACCTCTCGATGATAATGGGCGTTACGGGTGAGATATTGTCGCTGCTGCTGTCGGGCGGACAGGCGTGTATTGAATTCATATTGGATATGGTGAGGATTAGGTGTGCGCACCGTTATCTTCTCTTACTTATCAACATTGATTCTCTTCCAGATTGTCTTCTTCACTGCCTTGTTCTATCTGCTATCCAGCAGCCAGGAAAAATATGCGCCCATGCAGATAACCAAATACATGGGATATTCAGCTTCGGGCATCAAGGTTGCCGATGCATTGGAGAATTCCATAACCGTTGTGCTGGTGTCCATGTTCAAATGCTCCACCTTTACGGGGCTGTTCACGTGGCTGGTGCATACGGTGTTTGGTGCACGCATAGTTTTCCTGCCCTCCGCTTTGGCTGCGCTGCTAGCGGCGGCTCCATTTTTGGGCAGCTATTGGTGTGCTGTGCCCGCCTTTTTGGAGCTTTGGCTGGCACAGGATCGCTTCTATGCGGGCCTCATACTGTTTCTATTACAATTCTTTGTACCCTCGTCCTTTGAGACTGCCATCTACGCGGATCTTAAGGGGTATGTGAAGATATTCCTCAGAAAGTGCAGAAATCATAACTCAATCTTTACAGCGGAGGTCATCCCTACCTCAATGGCCTGGCCATAGCAGGCGGCATGTACTGGATTGGCTGGCAGGGTGCCATATTTGGGCCACTCATGCTCTGCTTCTTCATTGGCCTCTTCGAAGTAGCCACTCTAGCCATGCGCACGAATCAGGAGCCCAGGTATGTTCGGAGCAGGTTAAAAGAAGCTCTCTTTCTTTTTGTATGCAAGTTAAGTTATTTTATTTATGTCGACAACTTTGCGGCTGAAGAATATAAGTAAGTTTTTGTTTTCTTTTGTTAATGGTGAATTTGTTGCTATTGCTGAATGTTCATACATCGATTCTGGAACTTGCTCTAATCAATTTCACTTTACAGACGCAGCTCGGATGAGGAGACGCGCACTACGTAAGTCCTGAGCTAGGCTTCCATGGATGGTACTCGAAATGCAAAACTAACAATCAACTATGGCTAAGCTTCTGAGCCTCTCTGACTAATCTATTTCATGCCAGCCACAGCAAATTTCGCGATTTTAGTTATTTTCTCTTTTGCTTTTATTTACACCTTATTTTTGTACTAAATTTTTAAGTATACAAATATTTGAGTCCGTCTCTTAAAAGCTGTGTATTCAAAGCAAACGAATTTTACTAATGTATTTGGATTGAAGTTTATATACCCTTGCCATACTTGGACATTTGTTGTGACATAGGCAACTAGTGTATACCCTATTACCTCTCAGATATGTCTTGTGACATAGCTAAAGACATATACACTATGAAATGCAATTCCTTAATCTCTCGCATGCTCCTTAATCTCTTTAATGTGTAGCCAAACTAAGTTTTGAAATTAATATAATATTTATTAAACAATTTCAAGGGTATGTAAGCTTTTTAGTTTTAAGCAAACATTTATATTCATCAATAACAATAACTCAACGTTTGTTCTTTTTTTTTTTTGCTTTGTATATATAAAGAGAGAATTGTTTAAAAGCTTGATTCCAGAACCGTCAACCGGTTTCCTCTTAGAAATACGTATGTAATTATTTTGTGCTCGCTACGAATGTGATTTCTTTAAGCTTATGTTAATTAATTTTATTGCAAATAAATGTCATTACGTACTAAACAATACAAAAGATTACAGTGAATACTCGCTCATGAGAGATTTGGTAAATTTTGAATAGTTGAATCTTTTTATGAACCATAAATAAATAATAAAATCTTTGTTATGTATGTAAAAATAAAATGTTCACCAAGCAATTCCATTTAGCGAGCGATCACTGTACTGCAGCCCACTTAATTTTCAGCTCTATTTTCAGTAAAAAACTTGATTCTTTCCACAATCGAAGCGAGAACAACGTCGAAAACGAAATCGAAAAAGAATGCAATAAAAATGTTGCCGCAGTGCAGGATGCCACGCCCAGCGACAGTGAAAAGCGCATGGGAAAACCAGTTATATTGAAAATTATATCGAAAATGTTGCAGCCATTGGACACGCCCAAAGGCAGTTGAAATTGCTTTTCTGTTTTCTTTATTATTTGTAGTATCAAATATGTATATAAAATGTCTAAATGTTTGTACTGAAATTAATTGGTGAACTGATTCTTGAAAGTAAACTCCGGATGCTGTTCCACACTGCAAAGGAAATAGGGATATGTTAAAGAGTTTATCAATGGGAGCCCCTATCCCTAGCTTACCCGCGGAAGAAGGAGAAATCGCAGATGCGTATGTTCTTGTCCAGAGCACACAGCTTGGCCACCTCCTCGGTGCTCAGCTGAAAGTCGAAGACATCCAAGTTTTGCTTGAGGCGCGCCTCATTCGTGCTCTTCGGTATGGCCACAACGCCCGTGTCGATGATCCAGCGGAGCAGCACCTGGGCCGGCGTCTTCTTGTGTGCCTCGGCGATCTGCTTAACCTCCGGTATGTCCATCAGATCGGGCAAGTCACGCTCTACGCCAGCGGCCGCATTGAACTTGGCAATGCCCTTGGAGCCGAGCGGGGAGTACGCCGTAATGGCAATATTCTCTGCCTTGCAGAAGTCGACCAGATCGCGTTGCTGCAGGTACACATGATGCTCGATCTGATTTGTGGCTGGACGTATTTTGCAATTCTTTAGCAGACGTGCCACTTGCTCCTTGCTAAAGTTGGAAACGCCAATGGATTTGGCCAGCCCATTTTCCACCAGCTTCTCCATCTCCGCCCAGACGGCAGCATGATCCGTGGACTTGTCCACCTTGACGCGACCCTCATCATCAAACTGAAAACTGCCGTCAGGATTGATGAATAGCGTGAAAGGCGTATGCACTAGATACATGTCCACATAGTCCAGCTGCAGATCGGCCAGCGACTGCTTGATTGTGGGCTCCACCTCATGTGGACGATTGGCTGCATATACGAATAGTTAATGCTGTGCTGGGTTTCAGATGAATTGCTCTTACCAATGGGCGGCAGTTTGGTTACAATGTAGAGATCCTCCCGCTTCACTTTGCCCGCATCCAACCAACGTTTAAGTACGCGGCCAATGGCCTTCTCGTTGCCATAGACCGGGGCGGTGTCTATGTGCCTGTAGCCCGCCGAGAGGGCGACATCAATTGCGGTTTCGATTTCCTCATCGGATGCCTAGGTGTGCGATGATGAGATTGCGGTTTATGACATATTTAAAGAATCACCTTTTACTTATAGACGGTATAATGGGCTAGTCGTTAAATGCATATGTTATGATTGTCGATCATATACATTAAATGTTATACTGATTGATCCGTATCAGCAATTGAGACGCTGTAGCTTGATATTTATGTATGCTAGTATAATATACTATATCCCTCCTATAAGTACTACAATCGTATAACAATTTTTGAAAGGATTTAATACTATACATATTTTTAGTATAACATATACAATATTGCCTTTATAGCAACAGTTCAAGTGTTTCGGTTATATATACCAAACACCAAACTGTTATATGCATGTGAATGTTTCTAAGCTTCTTGTAACTCAGCAGATTTGCAAATTTCTTTGTAACAGATATACACGAATATAAAAGAGGTAGTCTACTAAGCTTCATCGGAAACAGAATAAATCTTACAATACTATATCATATTGATACTGTAAGAAAAGCTAGTGTACTTGTATAACACTTCCAATGACTGAAATATAATACCACATAAATGTTATACGTTTGCATTCCCCCGCGCTCATCTTCATTCCACAGAATGTTGCTCTTTTTTGATTAAGTCTTAACGAACACATCTCGTTTTTTTCTTTACTGTTTTTAGTAAAGATAATAAAACTCATTGTATTCAGAGAAAGTTGGCCTGATGTAGGACAAGTACAAAGATTTGATTTGTTGACAGAAAGCAAGAACCGGTCACTATGCATATACAGAAATATATCTTGCCAGCTCACGAAACCAAAGTGACACTGTTGCAGTATAAATAATCAATACATAGATCTATGTATATGCAAAGCTATAAGTTAATATGTATATATACATAAGCTCAGCACTCTCAGAGGAAATCAGTATTTAATGATTGCAGTTTTTTAAATCGTTTATCAATCATTACCTGCCAGGTGCCAATGCCAATGACGGGCATTTTCTCACCATTGTTAAGTGTTAAGAACTTCGTGCAAGCCATTTTTAATGTAAATAATCTTTTAAATCCACTTGTTGAATGCTGATATTAAGAAGCGAGTACAAATGCCAACACAACCGTCTGGATTGAACGTTCCAAAGGGAATAACTAAGCGGACTGCTTGGCCGGCAATAACCAAAGCTTTGAGAGAGCTTTTAAGCAGTGTACAGTGGGACGCTTGATCATAAAATGTATTACTACATATGCCTCGAATTCTGCATGGTGACTTTATTTCATTCAAATGTATGTATGTAATTTAATAAATAATCTGATTTTAAATTGTACAATTTTAATATATAAATGTGATTAACTAATTCACATAAATGCACAGCATATACATTAATTTTTCAATCTTGCGCCACTATGCTTTAATTTTTCTACAGTGCTGGCTAATGCAGCTTAACGCTATCGATTAATTCTACCATTCGTAAGTATCGATATAGTCGTCGGTATTGTGAACATTGCGGCGCATATATTTTGTAAGTTTTTAAATATTTAAAATGAAAACGGATTAGGATCAATCTTCTAATTAATAGTATTGAACTATTTCTATTAAATGTACTTTAAATATAAACAAATTCACTGTGGAAGTAAATTGACGCAACAGGTAGTTTGTCAACACGTGCTTAAAACCTGAGAGCAGTCACACTGTGTGTCTCTCTTGCTCTTGCGATGTACGGAAAAAATAACAATTGGTGGGAAAGATTGATTGAATTTAATTAAAAATGCTGCGCAAAGTGCCGATAATAGTTATACTGGGCTCCACTGGCACAGGCAAGACGAAACTATCGCTGGAGCTAGCAGAACGTTTTGGTGGCGAAATTATTAGCGCGGATTCCATGCAAGTTTATACGAATTTGGATATTGCCACAGCGAAGGCCACCAAGGAGGAGCAGGCGCGAGCTCGCCATCATCTACTCGATATTGCAACACCGGCAGAGCCATTTACAGTTACGCATTTCCGAAATGCGGCATTGCCCATCATAGAGAAGCTGCTGGCTAAATCAAAACCACCGATTGTGGTTGGCGGTACAAATTATTATATAGAATCTTTACTGTGGGACATACTGGTGGATACCAAAGAGGAGAAGGTAACTACAAACGGCCTACAATTGTCAGCGGATGTAATGGCCGCTATGTCAACCGCTGAGCTGCATCAGCATTTGGGGAAGTTCGATGCCGGAAGTGCAAATCGAATACATCCTAACAATCGTCGGAAGATCCAGCGTGCCATTGAGGTCTACCAAAGTACGGGGAAGACGTTGACCGAGAAGCTTTCGGAGCAGCGTAAGCAACCAGGTGGCAACCGTTTGGGAGGTCCACTACGCTATCCACATACTATTTTGCTCTGGCTGCGCTGTCAGCAGGACGTGCTCAATGAGCGTCTGGATAAGCGAGTGGATAACATGTTACAGCAGGGTCTGCTCAAAGAGTTGCGTGAGTTCCACAATAGCTACGCGGATGTCACTCTTCAGGCGTATACAAAAGGCGTCCTACAGACCATTGGCTACAAGGAATTTGTGCCGTATTTGATGAAATATGATGCACAACAGGATATCAAGGTTGAGGAGTATCTGAGCACCCACCAATACCAGTTACCTACTTCAGAGCAGCTTGCAGCTATAGAAACGGAGGATGGGGAGCAGCTGGCTGCCAGTCTCAAAGCTCTGAGCAGCTGTTGTGCTGAACTGAAGTTGGTGACGCGCCGCTACTCCAAGAAGCAGTTGAAGTGGATAAACAACCGCTTCTTGGCCAGCAAGGATCGCCAGGTGCCCGATCTGTTCGAGCTGGACACCAGCGATGTGAGCGCCTGGCACGAAAATGTCTACAAGCGAGCCGAGTGCATCATCGAGAGTTATCGCCAGGCGCAAGTCTGTGAGATTGCGCCCATGGCCAAGCGTGTGCATCCTGGCGCCGAGCTCAACGAGGAGACGAGCAACTTCTGTGCCATTTGCGAACGTCATTTCATTGGCGAATATCAGTGGAGTCTGCATCTCAAGTCCAACAAACACAAACGTCGACGTGAGTCGCAGCGACGCAAGCAGCAGGAGGCAGACGCAATCGGACCCCAATAAGCCGCAGTAATCGAGACGCATAGACAGTTGTAATAATAAATCTATTTACGGATACAAAACCTGAGTTGTAGCTTGTTGATATTAGAGTAGAGAAGATTATTTTAGTTATGTAATGGAATATGCAACATGTTGAAGAAGCTATATAGTGTATAAATGTATATTATATATTTTGTATTATACATTTATATATTATATTCTATAATAGTCAACACAATCTGCTTACCTATAATAATAATACCTATACCGAAGTCCGGCTTATCTGTATGTATTAGAATAATAGATTACATTCATTAGAGTATTAAAATCAGGCTGATGCAAGCGAGTGGGATGACCCTTCCCCTGAATCGCAGAGAGGGGGGTCCTATTCGCTATCAGCTCGAAGCCGCAGCCCACAGAGGTCGTTGCCTAGGTGAAAAGCGAAAACATGTTTGTGCAGTTTGTGCAGCCCACGTCGGTGCATTGAAATCGTTTCATCTTTCATTTGCATTTCAGCTACCGAGTGAAACGCACGTACGCACGCCCAAGGACCAGCAAAGATGGCAAACCAGAAAATAGGTGAGATTCAGATTGCAAGCATATGAAGTTCATAAAATCCTCTATCAAATGTATCAAATGTATTTGCAGCACTGCTCAGCGTCTCGGACAAGACGGGTCTGTTGGAGCTGGGCAAGCAGCTGAGCTCGCTGGACTTTCAGCTAGTCGCCAGCGGTGGCACAGCAACTGCATTGCGTGCCGCTGGCCTGAGCGTCAAGGATGTCTCCGATATAACGGGCGCACCCGAAATGCTGGGCGGTCGGGTGAAGACGCTGCATCCTGCTGTACATGCGGGCATCTTGTCGCGTATCACCAGCAGCGATCTGGCTGATATGAAGAAACAAGAGTACAATCTCATACAGCTGGTCGTCTGCAATCTCTATCCCTTTGCCAGCACCATCGCCAAGCCAGATGTCAGCCTGGCCGATGCCGTGGAGAATATTGATATTGGTGGCGTGACGTTGTTGCGTGCCGCAGCCAAGAATCATCAGCGTGTCACGGTCGTCTGTGAGGCCGTCGACTATGCCAAGGTTCTGGCCGAGATCAGTGCTAAGGGCGATACCACGCTGGAGACGCGCCAAGCTCTGGCACTGAAGGCTTTCACGCATACGGCCAGCTATGACGAGGCCATATCTGATTACTTTAGAAAGCAATACGGCGCAGGCAGCTCACAGCTGACGCTGCGCTATGGCATGAATCCTCACCAGAAACCAGCCCAGCTGTACACAACGCTCGCCCAATTGCCGCTCCGTGTGCTGAATGCCTCGCCCGGCTTTATCAATCTCTGCGACGCGCTCAATGGCTGGCAATTGGTGAGGGAACTGAAGCAGGCACTGCAGCTGCCAGCGGCAACAAGCTTTAAGCACGTCTCGCCTGCTGGCGCTGCTGTGGGCGTGCCGCTCAACCCGGCCCAGGCTAGGCTCTGCATGGTGGACGATCTGTACGAGCAGCTGACGCCCTTGGCCACTGCCTATGCACGCGCACGTGGAGCCGATCGCATGAGTTCCTTTGGTGACTTTGTGGCGCTGTCCGATGTCTGTGATGTGGTCACAGCCAGGATTATTTCGCGTGAGGTCTCCGATGGCATTATTGCGCCCGGCTATGAGCCGGAGGCATTGGAAATTCTGAAAAAGAAGAAGAACGGCAGCTATTGCATTCTGCAGGTAAATCTGATCACATCCATTAAATCCTCTTCGTGCTACTGCTAATCTTGAAATACTCCCAGATGGATCCCAACTACGAGCCAACCATTATGGAGCGTAAGACCATCTTTGGCTTGACCTTAGAGCAGAAGCGCAACGATGCCATTATTGATGCAAATCTCTTCTCCAATGTCGTGAGCAAACGTAAGCCGTTGCCCGAGTCCGCTGTGCGGGATCTGATTGTGGCCACCATTGCCCTGAAGTATACCCAGAGCAATTCCGTGTGCTATGCACGCGACGGCCAGGTGATTGGCATCGGCGCTGGGCAGCAGTCGCGCATCCATTGCACGCGCCTCGCTGGCGAGAAGGCGGACAACTGGTGGCTGCGCCAGCATCCCAATGTGGCCGCCATGAAGTTCAAGGCGGGCGTGAAGCGTGCCGAGATCTCAAACGCCATTGACAACTATGTGAACGGCACGGTGGGCAAGGACATGCCAGTGGCGCAATTCAAGGGCATGTAAGCGGAAGTTCCAGTTGCGTACAGAATATACTCTAATCCGTTGCTGTCGTCTAGGTTCGATAAGGCACCGGAACAGCTGACGACAGAACAGAAACTTGACTGGTTGAAGCAGTTGAGCGGCGTGGCACTTGGCTCCGATGCATTCTTCCCCTTCCGCGACAACATTGATCGTGCCAAGCTTGTGCGTAGCTCTAACCATTGATGCCCTCAAAGCACTAGCTAATTTTTGTTCTTCTGCTTACAGAGCGGCGTCTCCTACATAGCCAGTCCGTCCGGCTCCACCAATGATGCAGGCGTCATTGCCGCCTGTGACGAGCACGGCATTATTATGGCGCACACCAATCTGCGTCTCTTCCATCATTAATTACCATTTGACGAGCATCCCTCGAATATATGTGGTGATAGCCACAGACTACCCTATAATCCACATTCCTTCAATCTAAACAATAAAAGACACTTGCCTTAGTTAGTTAAACGTTCGCTGCCTCGACTAATTGCTATATTTATTTTATTAAGTTGCTAACTAATGTACAGTTGATGGAGTCCGGCCCGTTTAGTAGCGCCGACTGCGTCGCTTGCGACAGGCGCCGCGGCAATTGCACACAAAGATGATGAAAGTCAAGCAGAAGAGCAGCACGGAGCCCAGCACCAAGGCCAGAGTGGTGGTCTGATCATAGTTGAGCGTGGCGTCCAGCACATGCTGCTGCGGCAGCAACTGAAAGTCGTGCAGCACTTGTGTGCCATTGGGCGGTGGGCAGGGCTGCTGCACAATGATCTCCTGATGCTGCACCTGCAATGGTCAGACTCTATATATAAGTACAAATTCTTAGCTTTAAATGAATTTTCGATTTACTCACCTGTTTGTTGCGGCACAGCTGCAAGCCTGCCGAATTGGCCAAAGTCTCGGCACTGTACTCATCCTGCACCAGCACGGGCAGCAGCCAGCGCTGGGGCGAGGCTTGCTGCAGCCAGGACCAGAACTTGGACAAATTGCGCGGATGCACCAAGTAACCACCCACGGCGGCCAGTGTCAGACTGATCAGGACGTTGACCAGGCTGGCGGACACCTTGCAGGGCAGCAGATGGGCGCAGAACAAGGCGAGCGTTTGTACGAGCGTCAGATAGAGCAGCATATACCCTGTAAAAAAGAAAAAATAGGGTTAATTGATTACTGAGCTTCGCTTGTGATTCCCGTTAGACTTACCCATGTACAGGTAGATGCCCGTATCGCTGCTATTCGAATAGGTATATAGTCCGGCCATGCTGTGCGCCGGCAGCAAATAGGCCAGCCAAATGCATAGGCTGGGAAACAGGCCCAGCAAACTCTGCAATAATAGAGTTCAAGTGTTAAGAGAGTTGAAGCTAATATGGATTTGATTTGATATGGGGTTTATATGAAAATACAACCGAATCCGGTTATACCGACTCCGCTTATAGCCAAAAGTTTTGTTTAACAATTTCTGTATTATTTTTCGGATTTCAATAAGATTCTCAGCATGTGATCTACGTCTATCTATAGAACGATTTTCACTCTAGTAAAATGTAAACTCAATCATATATTGGCCATGCTTTTAACTGACCTTACATAATGTGGCAAAAATAATAAAAATCTAAATTATATAAAATACACATGAAACAATATGCAGAATTTGGAGACGCTAGCTCTAAGGACAGACAAGTTATAATTTTATAACAGAATTCTAAGGGTTTCAATCAATATCATTATGAAATAAAGCAGATTAAAATCTCAGCTCTTATAAGTTCTTGACGGACTAGCCCTCCGACCCCATCGACTCATATGCATATATGGGGTCTGTCACGCCATACAAAGCTGTAGAATCAAAGAATTCAGAGGACAGAGGACAAACCTGCACAATAATATAAAGACTGCGCGAATAGAGACCGAGTCGGATGTCCCGCTCCGCATGACGACGATCCTCCTGGGTGTCGCGTATGGTCAGCATGACCAGTGGCCAGTAGGCCAGCACCATGACGCAGTGATGGTAGCCGAAGCGATCGTTGTACGATAGTTGTGGATCAGAGGCGGGCACATCCCAGAAGATGCAGCCAATGCAGAGGGATAGCACCGCGGCGGCAATCAGTTTGCTGATCCAGGTGAGCAGCGAGCCGGGCTGTTTGTAGGCCGCGAATCGTTTGATGAGCGCCTTGGCCTGGCCAAAGAAGCCCGCCTTCATCGTGAAGTTGGGCAGCGAGGCGGGCGGTGCTGCCAGCGGGGGCTCCGAGTTGATTTGATCCCAGGCATTGGCCAGCGATTCGATGCGCGCCGATGACTCCAGCATGGCCGCTGCCGACAGATCGTCCAGGGTGACCAGATCAACTGGAGGGTAAGGTTTAGGTTAGTTAGACTGGTACTGACATATAAGGTGGGCGTACTCACGATAATAGTCCGCTGGATTCTTGAAGGGCGGACACGGATAGCCCAGCTCGCCCATGTGGCGTGGCAAATCGGCCCGACTGCCGGAGAAGACTGTGCGTCCGCCCGACAGCAGCAGCACGCCGGAGCACATGGACAATATCTCAAAGGTGGGCGGCTGCAGGGTCATGATGACAATGCGACCGCCGCTGCACCACTGACGCAGATACTCCACCAGGAAGAAGGTGTCAAAGATGTCCATGTTGCTGGTGACCTGATCCAGGATCAGCAGCGATGACTGCGCCAGCAGCTGGCAGGCAACGCTCAAGCGCTGCTTTTCCGAGTGCGTTAGCGTCGAGACATTCGAAGCACGCACCGTATTCAGGCCCAGATCCTCGATGAGCACGTCCATGCGATCCTTCAGATCACTGCGGTCCAGTGGGCCACGCAGCGCCGCATGGAAATTCAGCGTGCACTGCACACTCATGCGCGGATCCAGCGAGGACACATCCAGTGCGGGCACATAGCTGCACAGCTCGCGCAGACCACGGCGATTCACCTGCTGGCCATTGATCAAGATCTCGCCGCCCAGGCGCTCCCGCAGACCCGCTAGGCACTCAGCCAGGGCGCTGCCCTCTCGCTGCGATGTGGCCATAATGGCGAACAGATCTCCCGCCTTCGCCTGCAGCGAGACGCCGTGCAGGCAGGGACTCACGTCCAGGCAGTGCACCTGTATATTGGGATAGATCAGTCCCAAGCTCGACTGTTTGCGGCCATAGGGCTGCGCGTGCCGGGAACTGCCATAGATGCGCGACTCGCCATAGTCGCCATAGCCCAGCCCCCCATCCCCGCCCAGTCCGGCACCCAACAGATCCGCCTCGCTGTGCGAACGATGGCCGTAGTGCTTGCCGTTGGTCATGTACTGCGGCTGTTGCTGCATGTGCTGCTGCTGCTGGAGATGATGGTGCTGGCCGACGGCTATGCTGGCCCGGCTGTTCGCCTGGCGCAGTGCCGCCGCTGGCACGCCGCCCTGGGCGCGCGACTCCGGCCGGGAGTGCGCCATGGCCATGCCCATGCCGCTGATGGCACGGAAATCGGATTCGCTGCGATACTTGCGCAGATTGGGCGGCACTCGACTGCGCGTGGTCTCGTTGTCGCTGCTGTCATAGCCGCTGGACCCAGCGCCCGCCGGTGCACCCGAGCTGTCCCGGAAGCCGCGATTCACACGGCCGCGCACGCCGCCCAGCGCACTGGAGCCACCCGGACCCGGGCCAGGTCGATGCGAGCGCTGTGAGCCCGCATTGGGCGGAAATACACGCGGCAGTCCAAATTTTAGATATGTGTACATATTGGAGCCCAGGGGAGATCTGAGGGTGGAGGGAGAGACAGATAAGGAGGGAGGTTAGATGATATGGAGAATAAATTTGATCAGCTCTTGACTAGACAGAGTAGAATAAGAGTAGTAAAAGTTCTCCAGCTGTAAATACGTAGAAGATACCCTGAAGCTTTTGAGCTATTAAATGTGCACTTAAAATTTAAATTTAAAAATATTATTTTCGTAACATTTCATTTCTATATAAGTTTGAAAATAGCATTATATTACAATTTTTCTGGTAAGCCCTTAAGCTTGTATTTAGATTTAAGTATTATTTTTTAATTTTATAAAAAAATAAAAAAAAAAAAAAATAAATAAATAAAAAAAAAATGAAATCAGCGTTATTTTCGCAAAAACTAAAAGTTTCTCTTTGAACTTAAATGTAATTTTGTTTATATATTTATTTATGTGTATTAGCATTTGCTTTTAATTTTATTTTTTATAAAATAATTAAATAATATTTTATTGAACATCAAGTTTTCGCAAAAACTAAAAATAAAAAAAATTCTCTTCAAACTTAAATGTAATTACAATTTTTATTTTATTTTTTTTTTTATTTATTTATTTATTTTTTTTTGTTTTTTTTTTTTTTTTTTTTGGTAATATTTTAAACGTGTATTCAAAACCAATTCGTATTTATAAATTGTTTATTATATTTTATTTATGTCTATTTCCAGCCATAAATTGTAAGCAAAATATTTGATTTTAAATTAAATGACTTCATTTTGAAATATATAACTCAAGCATATCATTTTATTTTTCATTTAATTTAACATATTTAATTAACAAATTTCGTTATTTGATTATTGTTTGAACAAATTTGCAGTATCAATAATCGAATCAAAAACCTTGTCAGCTTTAAGGAATGTTGTTAATTGAAGATACGAGTGCTTATGGCATGCACAGATGAGTAACACGTAGATATACCCATATATACTACATATTTTATTGTGCAAGTAGTATAGGTTTTATCATAATTGTTATTGCTACTCACTTGGGTCCGTAGCGCGGATGATTTAAGATTGATTGCACTGTGGTATCTCGTAGCTGGAAATTTCCATATGGCAGCGGTGATTTATCTGACGAGCCCAGCGCCGAGTCGGTGAAGTCAGAGTTCAGATTTTGCCTGCAATGGGGTGGGAAGAAGAGGCAGATGAGCAAGGCGTGCCGAGTTGCGCTTAGCTGGTCAATTGTTATAACGGGGCGTGGTCAATGCGGTTAATTAAAGTTATGGCATTTGAACTTCCGCTTCGGCGCGGTTTAATCGAGCGCTTCAAAATTGTCAAACCAAACAGGTGCAGCAGCAGCAGCAGCAGCAGTAGAAGCAGCAGCACCTGCAGCAGCGGATGTGACAAGGGCACGCCCACAATGCTTCCGCACTTACCTATAAATGGACCAGGCATGCAGATCTTCGGATGCTGCCGGCGGCAGCGGTGTATTGGGACCATGCGGCACTGAATAGCGACGCTCCTCGCGTGACATTTTCTTATTGCTGGAAAAGTTGCTCAGCTCCATGGTCTGTAAAAGAGAGACAGAGAGAGAGAGAGAGAGAGAGAGAGAGAGAAAGAAAGAGAATTAGTGTCGTGGTGCCAAAAAATGTGGCTAATTTCCAGTTGAACTGGGTCAAGAATGTCAGCGTGGCGGTTATTACTCATAATTTGCGGGAATTAGCTTAATGAAAGCCACGCACACAAACATAAATATACGTATATACACAAGTATAGTTGTGTGTGTGTCTGTAAGCCCCTGCTATTGTTTAGCAAAGTTAGTCTTGGCTTAGACCAAGTTTTGTACCCTAGAGCAAAAGAAATGTGAGGTATGCACAAATAGAATATAATACAAATATTTGAAGAGATTTAAGCTTGAGGCATAAGTGATTTATGTAGCTATCATTTATCAATTTTATAATTATAATAATAAAATCAATTGGAGAGTTATATATTTACTACCTAATAACCAATAAAAACCTACTTCTGTGTCAAATCGATCAGTGATATTCTAGTGAGCTAATGCTCGAAGATATTATGTAGAGAATATCACATACATTGTAATAATCGCTCTGGATTTAAGACTATATATAGTTCTACCCACTATTCCTATATAGCTGTATATTATAGAGGAAGAACGCAGATATATTAATATTATAGAATATAATCGAATGAATATTCAATTATTGTAATATGCCAACTTACTATACAGTTTTCATATACAGAGAGAAACCCATAAACAACTAATTTCAACTGATTTTAATCAGCTTCTATTATAGTTTTTACTTCAAACCAAAATAAAAAAAATCATGAATAAATTTGAATGAATTAATGTTTCAGCTTTATCCAAACAAGAAAAATTTTAGTTCCAAACCAAATCAGAATCATTTGTGCCCCCTATTCTATTCTATATCTAGGGTATAAAAACCTGAAAACAATGAAATGAATTTATGCAGTTTTTGTTTCATTTTTGGCTCTTGTTTTTTTTTCACATTTAATTTTCTTGAGTCGAGCAAATCGGAATCCGAATCGGAGAATCGAGCAACAATTGTTGCTGCTGGAGATTTCGACACGGCGGCTGCGTTTTTAATTGCTAATGCGAGAAACGCAGATGCAAATGAGCCGCAAAGTTGCACCCAAATGCCGCACTTATGCAAGACAGTCTAAAAGCAGAAAAAAAAGTGAAGACAAAACGTTGTCTGCTACCAAATGCACCTGTTGCCAGGTTGAGGTTGTGGAAGCCAGCCAGCCGTATGCATTTCCGTTTGCAGAAGTGAGTGCACCTTGAGTACTACAAATGACTATGTGTATGTGTGTGTGTGTAGGTGTGTGTGTGCGCAAATACGAGCAGTTTAGAGTGTGCTTAAACAGCTGCAAGTGGGTGCGAGATTATGTAGTTAAGTGTTCTCAGTTTTAATTATATATATATATTTTTTTTTTTTTAAAATTATTTTTTGAGCCGCAGCAGCTGGCGAAAGTAAGTGGCAGCAGCAAAGAGATTTTAGTTTATAATACGCTGTAGATAATTACTGACAGGGTATATCAGTGATTATATGTAACAGACCTTATAAAGAAAACGGCTATATCAATCTGTTTATCAGTTTTTGCTGCTTCTGAACGTTTAGATCTCGAGAATGATTGCAGCTAGAACTTACAAACTTAAGAGCTATGCACTCTTATCTATTAAGAAATCTTAGTTTATTTTATATCTTAATAATAAACGTGTTTTGTTGTCTAGAAAAAATAATATATACTCTCATAATAGATAAACATTTAGTAATTTCCAAATCTAAGAAAACGTGCTTAATTTCATTGAAGCTACTAAGAATTCCAATCAAACCTTGGAAAATCTCGAAAGCTATGAGAGCAGTAATCATTTACTTTGATATGAGGGTTCCTAAAATCCGTTCATATACAAAAACTTAATTTTTTTTCTAATATATACTTATATATATGATATTAATTATTAATCTTCTTAATTATTAAACTTTGCTATCCCACACATTAGTGTTGAGCATCGGCTAGTGGTGTCTTGCCTTCTAGAGCACTCTGACTTGCTTTTATTTACAATTAAAGCTAGAGCTGAAAGTGAAGCTGTGAGTGGGAGCTGTTGCTGTAACTGGATGTGAAAAGTGTGAAAACGCATCAAACGCTTTGATTACCGCATTATTTGGGGAATGCTTTTGGCTCTGGTAAGAGTCATATGCATTATGTATTATTATTAAATATAATTTTTTTATTTTTTATTGTTACAAAAATGGCTAAAAAACGACTTTTAATTGCGTGTTAAATGTGCTTTAATTAAAATCATTTTGTGTTATATAGCGACTTATGGCTTAAAGTTCAGTGTAGTTGATTTCTTCCTTTTTTTTTTTTATATTTTTTATGTAAGTTTTTTATTTGTTTTCGTTTGAGTTGCTGTTTTTGCTTCGCTTGTTATTGTTGTTGGCATTTTTAGTATGTACTTGGCCAGTGAAAGTGTCGGCAAAAGGTTTTTTGCCCGCACTCAATGATAATGTAAATATAACTCAAGAGGAACTACCTAAAGCTACGCCTACCTCAGCCCGTGTATAGGGCCAAAGCTAAAAACTTGCCGGCAGCTGCCTTTGTTCCATTGAATGAATGAATGAATGAATGACTGCGTGGCTGATTGAGTGACTGCATGCTGAACGTATTAAGGGCACAGCATTGATTTATGTGAACGCTGTCGTTGATATCTATACTGAGATGCACGAGAGGGTGAGAGAGCGAGAGAGATGAGTATATCTCTTTCCTCTGCACACATATCATTTGACAAGTGCGTTAAGCAAAAAGACTTGAATTTATTGCATACTAGTGCAGCCTCTTTATTGAGCTCCTGCAGTTGCTGTTGCAATGAAAGTGATTTTCGAAATATTACTCTTATTTTGTCACAGCTCAGATTCATGGGAATTAACCAGACGCCGGTTGCAATTTCAGCCTTACTTTTACAAATTGGGTATAAGAAAACGTAATGAAGCTGTGAAAATGTTATTTACGATGTCATAAAATCTATAACAAGTACGAACGATAGTTGACTACCTATATGAGAAACTATACTACATGAGCGGGCGGATAACAAGGCTATCAAGAAAAGTGAAAAGTTAGACTTTTGGATATGTAATTAAAATGAAATAATCTGGTGTGTAATTTCTTCAGCAATTACAAAAGCGAGATATTTGGTATTTAAGGAATTGATAAATAAATATATGTAAAATTCTTGAAGTGAAGTTAAATTATATAGTAATCTAGGGTGATTTCTCAATTCAATTCAATTGCTTTCTCAATCCTTCAATGCGGAAGGAACAAATGAAGAGCCAAAAAAGAGACAAATTCTGAGCGAAGGTCTTCCAACAAGGGAGTCATGGAGCAAATAGCTATCAGAAGTAACCTACTATATGATCTTGATTAAGGTAAACAAAAGCTGTTGATATCAATTCAAAGAACAAACATTTTACAGTTAGACTTGAAACTGATCCAATGCAAAACGAATCAATTTTCTTTTTCATCAATTATTAATAAATCCAATATCCAGAATGAAGCACTCAAGATACTCAGGGAAAACATAGAAATGGTGTTATATATCACATTCTCCTGCTGAAGTCGACCCGACAAAGATCGTTATGCCTTTATTTAAGGTTGACATGTTCCAACTCTCTATCACAAATCTCGAATGTAAGTAATACTAACACCTTCAAAGCTGCATATCTTAATATGACTTTAAATACATTATATTGCTACCTATAAACAAGCACAGAGCCACACTCAAAGAGCTTTAGTATAGAAGCATATAGGTATCTATTGCCCCCACTCCAGAGACACAGATACATATTTATCTGATTATGCAGCTGAAACGAAAAAATTCCAACTAGAGTGGTGCTGCCCACGTGCAGCTGCAGCTGCAACAAATGCCGAATTGGAAACCAGAATTTTTTTTGTTTTTGTTGGTGGCCAAAAGTTCCGCAGTCTCAACTCCAGCAAAGAGCTTGGCACAGTTACAGAGGCAGTTGTCTGCTGGGAATTATATCATAGATATAAAACAGATTAGCTGCGGCCAGTTTGGCGGCAAGAGAGAGTGGTTAGGTTATGTGTCGGCAATCGCTTTGCATGATGAGTGCTGACCGGAGCGGATGTGGTGTTTGTCAACGGTGCCCGATGCTAGGCAATTAATTGGCCAACGGTTATTGCCAATGCTTTAAATGAGTCTGCAATGATTACGCCAATAGGCTAAGGAGTTTGTCTAACAAATGTGTCAAGAATTGGCTCACACTGAGCCGCAGACTGACACAGAGAGAAAGGGAGACAGACGGAGACAGAGACAGAGAGAGGGAGAGAGTAAGTGAGTGAGAGAGTGAGACCAACTCGAACTCTAACTGAAACCCGTTGTTGTCGTTCCCGTTGCTTGTGCCGCATTTTTTGCAAAGCAGCCAGTTGACAAGTGGCAAGTGGCAAGTGGCTAACCGTTGCGTGTCTAAAGCCGCAGCACATGACCATTGATGCAAAAATGCAGTTAGACGCAAGTGGAGAATGACGACCCGAAAGGAGGAGCCACGCAAGCCACCGCTTACATTAGATTATTTAATGGTGCGCGCCCAAGTGGTTCCATGTGCCCAAGTGGTTTTACCATAATAATTTGTCCAAGTCTTTCATATTTTTCTTTTCTATATATATACTCACATATACATATACACATATGTATATGTATTTTTGTTTGATTTTTCTGTGGGCAACCACTCGAGAGACGATTTTGTGAGCCATTGAAACGTGTGTGTTTGCTCGGCTGATTGGATTACAAACAACCGACCGCTAGCTAACTGACGGACTGACAGCGAGACAGACGGACGGACTGACGCAGTGACTGACTGACTATGTGAACCGCTCGGCCACTCCACTTGCGGTCTAGGGTATATTCCCACGCAGAAAGCCAATTAAATTGGGCTAGCCGAAAAGAAACAACCAGTTAAGTGCAAGAGTCAAAAGTGAACGACGTGCAAATACCCTCAAACTAGCTGT